CCCCGAAAAATATCGCACATCTAGTAATTAAACACGACGATCAGCGATTCGGCATGAGTACTCGCATCTGTTAAGAGAAAGAAAAAGAAAGAGAGTGAGAAAGAGAGAGAAAACGCGATCGAGTCCCTGGGAGGAGGAGGAGAGGATTGCGAAAAAAAAAAAAAAGAGAAAGAAGAAGTCAGAGATAATACGAGCGCGACGACGACGACGTCTTTCTCTCTTTCTCTCTCTTCTCTCCTCGAACGAACTCGACCGACCCCGAGCTGTCAAAGTCCGTCAGTTCGAGGTTGGCCTCTCGGGTCACACGCTTCCATCTATATCGAAGCATAATTTACAGCTTCGCACGTACATCGCGAAGAGAGATTACACGCCCCACCAGAGAGCACTCTCTCGATGTGCGCGCAAAAACGCGTTGCATATTAGAAAAGAATATTCGCGATCTCGAATTGAATCGAGAGACGAGAATTGAAACGCTCAAGAAAAGTTTAGTGACAGAGCGGATACACGCGAGATGACGCACAAGTGCGTCATCCGCGAGGGTGCGACATTGATGGGAGGATCTCTCACAATGAATTCGAAGATTTTACAATTGACAGAACTTTGTTTTTATGCGCTCGATACAAAGAAATACTATAAGTACATGTAGCTTACGTATCGCGGGCGCGACTTCACATCGTAGATGTGAAACTAGGCCAAGATTTCGTTCGCATCTGTTCGATTCGCATCCGCGTGTTAATCTACGAAGGGTAATAAGTTATAAATAGTTGTCACAGAACATCAAATCTCTCTCTCTCTCTCTCTCTCTCTCTCTCTTTCTCTCTGTCTACAAGCACCTGTTTCGGCGTTATTGCACACCTGCTCAAAACTTGCGATCGATCTTGATTAATTGATTAAAGGTACAGATAAAATTAGATAATAAAATTTACAGACAATTCGCAGATTACTTTATTCGGCATTAAACCGATCAGTTAGTCTTCGTTACATACGTATATATTGCGCTCGTACGTCTTTCGATATCTTCGAAAAAAAAAAAAAAAAAGAAAAATCGAATCGTAGCAGGTGGATCGGAGAAATTTCGCAGAAATTCTCAATCGCAGTCGTCGAGAATTACGTCATCGAATTCGAGCGATAATGAATAAACTTTTGCGGGGGGGGGGAGGGAGAGAACGTTTATATCGACTTTTTCTTCACCCTTGCTCCACGCAAGTATTGCACATTTTATTTTTATTCTGCACCGGAGATACAAAGAGATACGAGCGCCGTTTAATCGCCGCAAGTTTCTTTCGTTTCTTTGCTGATTAGCGCGCGGATTTAAACATGGGTGTGTGCGTGCGTGCATGCGTGCGTGCGTGTGTGTGTTGTTTTTACTTTTTTTTTTTTTTTTTTTTCATTCTCATATCCGATTGCGCGCTGATCTCTTTCCTCGCCGAGCTGACCCGAAATCCGAAAGGCGACGTAGGGGAAAAACGTGCGCGCTCTTTTCGTTCGATCGATACGGTCGAACTTGACCTCTGCACCTGTTTTCATAACTTTTTCGTTTCGCCCGAACGCTAATCGCCGATAAACTCGGACGGTCTTCTTCTCCACTCTCTCGCGAGCGAGTTTCGGATCCACTTCGGAATCGCGTAAATAAGAAAACAAAAAGAAGCAAAGAAAAAAAAAACACACATGTTCTATCGGTCACTTCCTAGTTCTCCGAGAGTTTAACAATTGTGCGGTTCCTGTCTCTTCTCTCCTTTTTTTTCAGCGAGACAGCAACGTTTGATAGTTAATTAATAAATCGGAATAAATGTACTTGCGTATATGTGTGCGTACATATGTATTGCTCTCTTTCTATCTCTCTCTCTCTCTCTCAATCTCTCATTCTCATTCATACACACATTCGGTTTGCGCTAATCAATGCGATGCGAGATACAACGGAGGCAAACACGTAGTCTCTCGCCGATGTGTGACTCTCGGCGCGTGCGGATCGAGTACGTCGCACAAGATCGACGAGATCGATTTTTCCAATAAATAATATATATCACACTCCACACAATTATTCACAAAACTATGTACTAGAGAGAAGGTCAAGTCGTTCGAGGACGTCAATCCTCGCGCGCACTTCCTCTTTGGCACGTATTTATTCTGGGTGAGACGCGGCTGGAGATTCAAGATGGAATACACCTGACCTGTTCCGCTCCTATTGCACCACCGCCAGTGGTGGATTGTGCTGCGCCCTGATGATTCCCGCGACGCGCCTGAACGGCAGCTGCAGATGATAGTACGCGCAATAGGGCAAGGGGTCCCAGTACACAAACAGAGCCTCCTTCTTGTCCAGCACCGTGCCCAGAAGATGGGACGCCGTCTCCCCCACGGCTGGCGGTCGTTGAAGGGCGATCGTCATCGCGTCGGACAGCGACTGTCTGATTTCCGACGCGGCGAACGCCGCCGAATTCTGCCTGGAGAAGTGCTTGCAGGGTTTCCAGACCAGACGCGGATGTATCCCCGTGTGACAAACGTAGGGTAGACTCACACCCACTCGGCAGCCGATTGACATCAGCTCGTTGGTGTCCTCCGACACTGCCAGCCGGAAGCTCAAGTGGCCGTTGATCCCGCCGCCGAAGGTGCGGCTGAAGAACTGCTCCAACCATCGGTTGACCTCCGGACGTTCCTCGGGTATGAGTCCAAGGTTCTCGTCCACTCGGCAGGTCACGTTCGCCACGACCCGCGTGTCCTTCACCGTGGTGCAGGTGATGAAGTGACTCCCGCCGGGGTCGCGGATCACCACCCACGGTCTCCTCTCGCTGATGTCTTGCTGATTCCTCAGTTCCCTGATCGTGGGCGGCAGCAGGATCTTGGTACGGTCGCGCATCCCCGCGGGACCTGCGGCCAGCATCATGTATCTGCCGTTGCGGAATGTGTTCTGCTCGTAGAGCGCGGACAGGTCCTGCTGCGATCGCAGCAGAAAGTGCTGCGGAGTCGCGAGACCGACCACGCGACAATATCGCAGCAATTCCAGAGGATCGTCCAGGGCGGTCACCTCGCTGGCGTTGGGCACGAAGCACTCGCAGCCCATGATCTCCAGATGCGGCTTCGCCAGCGCGTCGTAATAGGCGGTGCTGGCGGCGCTCACCGGTATGTAATACGCCACCTTCTCGCGCTGAACGATGTCTCTCAGCGCCTTGATGTATTCCACCACGTTCCGTGGACTTGGTTGCGGTATCGTGTAGAACTTGGAACATGCGGTGGAGAACCTGGCCAGACTGAACAGACCGTCGATCTCGCACACGATCACGCGCGCACCCGCTTTGTAGAAATTCCGTGCGAGATGCACCGCCTGTACCGTGCTACCGCCGCTGATCAGCACGCACCGTTTGTTGCGCGATCTCTCGTACGCCGATGTGTGCAGGATGGTGATGAACCACTTGAGGACGGTCAGCGGCAGTTGCAGAATCATCCAGAACATGCAGATCCAGGCTGTAGTCCACAGCGTGGGCGCCCAGAAGATATAACCGACGACACTGACGACACTCTGAAGCAGACTCCACAATAATCTGAAATACCAGAACAGAATCCTCCAGAGTAAGAAACCATTGTTTTGCTCGTTGACGTTCTGGGTGGTCTGTTGCAGCGAGTGTTGCTGCTGCTGCTGCTGCTGCTGCTGTTGCCGTTGCTGCTGTAATCTCTGTATTATCGTCGACATGCTCGAGACCGATGGCGTCCGGGAGAGATTCGTCGGCGTGTTGAACGTCGTGGAGTACGTCGTCGACGTTGACTTCAACGTGGACACGGGTGACATTCGGGCCGGCGATGTGGACAACGGCGAGACCGAGAGGGGCGGCGACGCGCTGTTGCTTCGCGACATCGGCGGGCTGAACGACCATAATTTCGAGCAGTTCTCGCTCGAGCAAGAGGGCATCTTCGTTCCGTTCCGGAGTTCCTCGATTGGCGTTACTAGTTCGAAGACGGAACCGATCTGCGGGAACCTTTACACTCATTCATATCTCTCGATCCTGAGAATAGAACTTGTCCGAAATTGTTTCAGCTAAGAGAAAACGAGAATTTTTTTCTTTTTTTTTTTTTCGAATTTGCGAAAAAGTTTCTTTCTCGGCGTGTCAATTTACTACTCGATCCGAATGGAGATTATCGCGCGTGGGTCTCTCTCCGTTCTCGCGGTGCCGAATGTAGCGTAGACAGGTGTGTACAGGAATCGTTCGAATTCGCACAATTGGGGCAATGGTTGTTGACTGAAAGATGTGTACAGCGACTTGTGGATAATTCATCCGCTTAATTAGCGGCTTGCACACGCAGCTTTAACTGAAGCCGAGCCACGAACATCCCGGTCTCTTATGAAGTCTGCCACTCGACGCACTATGAACCGGAGTCTTATCTAATCGTCACGCTTCAGACACCACGTCGGAAAGAAAGGAGCTGCGAAATATGTCGTCTGTCTGTTCGGTTTTCTTCGTTCTTTCTTGTTTGTTGTTTTCGGTTTTTTTTGTTTTTGTTTTTTTTTTGTTTTTTACTGTAATCAATTTTAGCGAAGAACGAAAACGATCGGTCAAAATGATCGATTCGCGGTTATGTAACGTATAGAAAAAAAAAAAAAAACGTATCGCGAAAAAATAATAAGTTAATCGTTCGCGAATCGTTCGTTTTCGGAAATTTATTAAAAGCACGCGGGAGCAAATGGTTGCACATTTTACGAAACACTTGCATTTTTCTAACGCAAAAACATTCGAGGGAACAAACGTTTTTTTTTGAATACAGCTTTATTTTATTATTACTTTTTTTTTATACATTTAGAATATACTTATTTTGTGTCTGTGTGTGTAAATTATATAATACGTTATTACGATCTTCTTTTTTTTCTTTTGGCTTATAATGAAATACAATGTAATATACGCTTACTTTAGAATTTGCTCGTCTCTCTCTCTCTCTCTCTCTCTTTCTCTCTCTCTTTCACGGCACTTTGAACCAGTTTTCAAGTGTTAAATCTCGATCGCTACTCCGAATTAAACGAAAGAGTGTTAATCTCCTGTAAACTTTTTGTTTATTAGGTTCGTCTAAAACTTCAGCGAAGAGATAAATTGTCGGAGACAAGTCCGTTAAAAGGCAAGACATTGAATTGACTTCTTTTACTGTTTAACATTCAATTTCTCTAATGTAACGCGTTATTCTAACAGTTTGTTACGCTACTCCATTTAATAAAAACAAAACGTGCACTGTTATTTATAAAAACAAAAACAAAAAATAAAAACAAATGGTTTTCAATTCGCCAAGGAACAACAAAATATCTTTTCACTTCCGAGAAAAAGTGGTCTTGCGGTTTTAACACACAAAGTTTAGCATCGATGACATTTGCATCATGCGTGCTAAACGTTTTTTTTTTTTTTTGAGATAAATTAATTAATTTAGTTTGTTTTTGTATTTTAGTTTAAAAAATAAAGACAAATTTCTTACAATTTGTTTTGGCCCATTCAATATAATTGTTTACCAATCAAAATCTACTATACAATGTTTATACGAATATCCAACTAACGGTACAGTCGTTCTCTAACTACATATACTTTTATATTTATATATGTATAATGTGATTATGTGTATATGTATACATATATAATTTTTTTTTCTTTTCTATGCGCAAAAACGTGACAAAGGTATTATATATATATATATATATTTATATATATTATACTTACTATACGACGTACGCGCGGCGCACACACACGGGATCGCACACACACTCGCTCGTGCGGACTCGCACACACACGTCAGTTCACATATTACATAATGAACAGGGTTTACACAGTGTTTTTTTCTTTTTTTTTTTTATATGTATACACGTTATTTTACTCGCTAAGAACTAAATCTTATCGTACACTTTTAAGCAATAAATATTTTGTTATTTTTTTCTTAGATGCTTCTTTTTTTCCCGTTTATATACAATTTAGCGTCATGACTGTGGGTGACACGTGTCCAGTCACAGTTCTTCTCTTATTATCCTATCAAATCCCATCTTTAGGTAAATTCATATCAGTTACAAGCAAAAAAACGCAAATTCCTTCTCGTTAATTAAAAAAAAAACAAATGTTTTTCTTTATACGCTATTAAAAAACCGTTGAGAAAATATAAATTTGTTCGCTACAATGTTGCAATTAAACAATCTATCGTATCGCCGGTGGTGAGGTACCGTCCTGTAGAAAAGTTGCGTACAGTTGTTATAAACAATAAGTTCTCAGAAAATAAACCGCAATATCTTATCTGAAATCAATCGCACAGTGTTGTGTGTGTATGACTAGAAGTTATTGTTGCACAATGACAATGCTATTGTATATTTTGTGTGTATGTATGTGTGTGTGTGTGTGTGTGTGTGTGTGTGTGAAATTCACGTAATATAAATTACGTAATTACATAATATTTCTAATTAATACAATGTTTGGAACTTGATTTGGTACGTTCGAAAGTTTGGATCACTTTTTGGTATATTTCTTCCAAAAAAACATATATATATATATATATATGTTCTGACTCAGGTAAATAAATAAAATTATTTTCCGAGAAAATAATTATAAGAGAGAGCTAACTTGTAAGAAAATATACGCGTTGCTATATAAATCGCACATATCCTGTCCGATGATGAATCTTGTATGTAACAACATATCCAGTTGCTAAATGGTTCAGAGCTTTCTACATTTTGTAAATAATTGACGATGTGTGTGTGTATACAACTGATGCGCAGCAGAACCAACAACAAACAAAATGCTTCTCCGCATGACGACACAGCAATGATTCCGAGATCCATATGCGTAATTTACATAATTGTTAGACATTCTCTCTCGCGTATTGTTTTATTATTTATTTATTTATTTAAATTATTTTATACCGTCTACTTCAATTTCTCTTGTCTTGTGTCTCGCACTTCCGTGCGCGCGAACTATGTTCTTCTCGCTCGAAGAATATTCAACAGCATTGTGCTTATAATACAATCGGTTTTCTCGTATTATATCAATATAGAGCAATGTAATTAAAAATAAAATTCGGTCAAAACACACTCGCCTATATACTCTATTAGCATGCGATTGTACCGTTTGCGTTGTGAATCCCGGACGCTCGTTCCAGCCGTCCAATTGAATTATAACGTCGGAGAAAAATACATGTTGAAATTTTGTCTCGTAATTTACCTCAAAAATGAATTGGTTTTTTGTAAATTGCGCACACACGAGACGGTTTGTACGATGACTCGTTTCATTGAACGTCATCGTTCAATGTGGCTGGAACGAGCACGCTTGAATCTCAACGTATGTCCTCTATAAAATTTGTGCTTTGAGGAAGTCGAGATGTATATATCGTTAGAATACAAATAGAAAAGTCACTCGATCCGGGGAGGAGAGGGGAAGGAATAAAAATTAATTTCGCATCAATTGATCTTAGAGTTGACTTCAAAAGTTCGTGAAAATGCTTCTCTCTTTCACACAGAGAACTTAAATAGTTTTTTTTGTTTTTTTAGAAGGTACTTAATACAGTCGTAATGAGTTCAGCGTTTTTTTTTTTTTTTTTTTTTTTTTTTTTTTTTTTTTTTTTTTTTTTTTTTTTTTTTTTTTTTTTTTTTTTTTTTTCATTTTTTACGTGAGGAGATCTTTAATTCTCATCAATATCTGTGGAAATATCTCAATCTCTCCCACAATTCTATAAAGTTAAGGATCACAATATATCCGTTAATCTGTAAACAGTTATCTCGTAGTTATTGTTAATGACATTAGCTGACATTAATCTCACATATATGGTTTATATTTATATATATATTTTTTCTATGGTTTTTTTGTTTTTGTTTTTTTTTTGTTTTTTCGTTTAAGTGTATCTCTCATATGCGCTATGTATTGTTATGCAGATACAGTATTGTCTATCAACGATGTTATGGTCTCTACAATTCTTTTTTTTTTTTTTTCTGGGACAAAAGGTCGGAAACAACACACTGCACAGTAATATACCTTTTTGTCGAATTGCAATACATTGCGTTTTCAATTAGCGGTTATGTGTATGCCATATGTGCGATAGAAAAGTTCACAACCATACATACATTTTTTGTATTAGAAAAAAAGAAAGAAAGAAAGAAAGAAAGAAAAGAGACAACTGTATAAAAAAAGAAATACTTTCCAAATTGCGCTCTCTTTGAGGATGATTACAAGGAAAGATGGAGTGTGGATAGAACACTTTTTATTTGCGAAAGTGGTCGCAATCGAAAAGAAGTAAACGAAACCAAAAAATTCTATCTACATTTAAATTCAACATTGCATGTTGTTTTTTCTTAACTAAATATAAATAGAAATGTGTAAAATAAATAGATATATATATATATATATATATATATATATATATTAATTTCTGTAAATTTTCAAATTTCATAAGCTTTATTAGGAGTATCCTCAATAAATTTTAACACGTAATACACACCATATACGCGTTATAACTAAAATAAAATCTTTAATAATAATAAGTTTCTCTCATTGTAACGTAATCGATTTAAAAAAAAATATATGTACAACTAAAAAAATGCTACGTCAAAGCAAAACAAATAAAACAAATCACAGATTTCAATACAATTTATATATTGGGTAACAGCGGGAATTGTTTTAAATAGAAATTAAATGAAAATATTATTTGGAAAGTATATCTCTCTGATTCCTCTTAAAGCTAACAGATCTCTTATTGCAGGTATGAAATTCAGAAGCAAAAAAGATCGACAAATGATTATATCTTCTCGTGGAATTCTTGTTGAGACGAACTAATGTTCTGACGTGTCGCTACAGGCATTCAATAAAGCGGAATATTAATTAGACAGAAAGAAAAATCTAAATGCCTCACTTTGTACATGAAGTGAAAAGAGGTATTTGACAGGTTGTTGTTGCAACGAATGCCGGTAGTAACATGGGGAAAAAATTAATTCGAGTTTTTTATTTTGCAAATTGCAAAATTCATCGATTTTTGTCATCTTCTAACGTTATGTAATACGGCGATAACAAATATCAAAAAGTCTTGATATCAAATCTCTTTCGACTCGTATTTCAATTCCAATATATAATTTAAATAAAAAAAAAAACTAAGTGACTTAGCAAAAACTTAACACATGTATATGTACATATAAATCTTATGCGCGCGCACACACACACACACACACACACACATGCACACGCACCACGGATTTGTAATAATAAAAAATTTTATATAAATATAAAATAATATTTTTTTCAATATATATTAGAATTGTGTGTTTCTCTCTCTCTCTCTCTCTCCCTCTCTCTCTCTCTTTCTCTCTCTCTCTCGCATATCCACAATATCTTATGTATATAAGACTAACTTGAAACAATCAAATATGTTTAATCGATAATTATATAAATTTGATAAAGATAATCGTACTTTGGCATTCCGATAGAATCAATCAATATTAAAATTATCAATAAATAAAATTAATGCAACGATCGTTGCTTACAATACAGATATAAATAATATCACGATTGCGTTAAATTCCCATTGTCGTAAACGATGCTGGGTGCGAATCGCGCGTTTAGCTCGCGCGTTCAAAGAAAAAAGAATGTTCTCTCGTTCTCTGTGTTGTTCTCACGCGTGTAAAAGAAATTGATAAACTTAAAAACGTCAATAAACATAAATTATTTACAATTTGCTCTAAATAATAACGATTTATATATAAGACCTCGTGCTTGGTTGTATTAAGTGTTACTCTCAGCAATGTTAGTTTGAGATCGCAATGACGAATAACAGCCCTGACAGACTCTAACCGGTTTCAATATACCGAGCCTGGATATCTTTGACTCGAAACGGCTGCATCTGTGTGAGAGAGAATCAACATTGGCTAAATGCACGAAGACCATTTTTTTTTTTTTTTTTTTTTTCTATAGACAAATATAACAATTCTCCTTAACTCTTACCTCGAACAGAACACTTGTCCACAGTTGCGACAATGATGTTTTCTCTCGTATAGATTGAATCTGACGCCACAACCGACGCAGGAGTCCGCCCCCTCGTCTTTGAGCCAATGATCGGCGACCGTGCGTCCGGGTTGTTCGCACACACTCCATGAAAATACTCTACCACGCGCATCACCCACATACACTGTTCTGTGATCTCTGTAAATCAAAGTGGAACACGGTGATCAGTATTTGAAGCGTGTCTTACAAAGTAAATAAAATTAAATGTGTGTGTGTATATAAGATGAACACTTTTCATACCTAGACACTGCTAAAGCGGTTATAGATGCAGGTTCGGCGTTGTCCTTACGATCGTAGGCAGTATGCATGGTTAGTTTACTGCGAAATACCAATTGCCTTTGCCACTTGAAACCGTCTCGCAAAATGTTTTGCGGATTTATCTTTCGCGGTTTCGTGTCGACTTCGGTGACCATGACGAAACTGTCGGTCAAACTGGTGTCACTTTTGCTAGCTCTCAGCGCTCCCTCGGAATCACCCGGATTGCTCGTAGACTCGCTGTAAAACAGTGTTCAACAACAAACATTCGAACATCGTAGACTTTGTGTATATATAAATTTCTGTTCGACGATACCTGGTTTGCGTGCCCTCGCTGTCGGCGCGTCCACCGCCCTCGCTCTTTCGAAACATCGGATTTCCGCGACTCTTTCTACGTAGTACGACCATGGACGCGTGATTATTCTGCGGCGAAGGTTTGTTGTTAGAACCGTTACTCGATTCGTTATCGGAACACTCCTCCTTTTCCTCGTGAAGCCTCGAAGCTTCTTTGGCATTTTCCGCCTCTGAGAGACTGCTTTCAGATCCACTTTTCATAAGCACACCTTGAAAACAAGAGACACAAAGTTCTTAACCGCATTCGGTAATTCGTACTGACGTATGGAAAACAATAATCAGTTTATCGTCTTACCTGATCCCTCGGCAGATACGCTCATTTGTTTGACCAATTCCTTAACTCTCTTCATCGTCGTTTCGGTTTGAGTTTCTTCGATGCTCGGTTTTTCGTTCTTCTCTTTGGCAGTCGCCACTTCTTCGGGTTTCTCTTCCTCAGCAGGCACTTGCACGTAATCCATCGACCACATCTGTGCAAGCAAAATTATCGCATCAAGAATAAACTGAGGTAGCGGACCTTTTATGAGAATCATATGAACGTCGCATCTTACACGAGCAACGCCGTCGGTGGAACCGGTCATGATGACATTCTGGGAGTCCCATTCGTGAGTCTGACTGAAAGCTACGCAGAGTATTTGTTGCATTCTGTCGGCGCGACCAACGCACGTGTTCACGCTCGCCAATTCCTCCCCGTTGATGCTCCACACATGTAACCACGTAGCCGCGCATGTAGCTATGTCACCCTATGGATAAGTAAATGTTTCAAATAAAACTCTTCGTGCACTATGTCTTTTTGTGAGAACACATCTTTGTTATTTAAAATATAATAAAACTACCGTTAATTCATTTATGGCTACTGCGGCAACTGGTCCCGCATGGCCCCTGAGTTGGCGCACGAACAAGCAACGGGACAAGTCCCATATTATCGCCGTGCCGTCTCGCGATCCAGACACGATGACGTTGTACGCGGGACTGGATGACAAACACGTGACCGCATCGGTGTGTCCGTACAGACACTGTTTTATAGAGAGTTGCCGCTTGGAATATTCCCAAACAGTCACGACCTGCGCCGTTGTCAATATTGATCAAGATTGTCTTACCGATGTGTTATTTGTGTTCACATTCTGTCGTAGACAAAATACTTACAGAACTAGTGCCAGCTGTAACTATCAGTTTGGAAGACGGACAAACGCACGCTACTATCTCTCCGCTACTTTGCATCATAGCCTCGCAAACGAAAATTGCTTTTTCGCTGTCGTAGTTTCCTATTCTAAGCGAGTGATCAGCAAATCCCCATGCGACGTACTTGTTGTAAGAAGGAGGAATGAGCGTCTTGTTCTGTTCGACCGCTAGCACAGCTTTATCGACGTGCAATATCTGTCCAACGGGACCCTTTAATTCTGCGAACGAGTATAAGTTGAATGTTTTTAAAAGCGCGTAGAATATATATTGAAAAACATGAACAAACGAAGCGAACCTTTGATGGGTTGCAGCGAAGGTTTTAAATTATCGAGATTATGGAAGAACAATTTGTCAGACGTGGTGATGCTCAGTCCGGGGGTGATGGGTCCAGGATCTATAACGCTGGTCCTCTGTGTCATTTTCTTCGCTGGATGCGGCTTCTTGAACAATTGTTTCGGTATTTGACCGAAATTGTTGATAAAACCGATGGTCGCGTTCTTTTTCAACGGATCGTCGATGCTACAAGAGAGATGTGATTAGAAAATACAACAACAACAAAGTTTATGCAACTGAACAAAATTGATCGCGTGTGAACTAACTTGTAGATGTCGACATTGCCCTCGTAAAATAAGTGATGGAACACATTGACGGCTTCGACAGCCGCTGGTCCGTTTTGTTTGCACCCGAATATCAAATCGATCCACTGGTGAAGATGCTGCGACACGTAATCGCACTCCAATGCCAGTCTATGAACACGAATAAATTCGCGAGGATCCTGCTTCGCCCAAGGTGGAAGAACGATATCACCGAGTTGAACACCGCTTTGTTTGGAACCTTTTTGGGAATAAATCGACACGTGACAATGATAAAAACAAAAAGATAAATACATCATTCAAAGAGACATTTACCTAAATCGAAGTGATTTGAATTGATGAGAAATTCCGGGAGATAAAAAAACTCCGGAATGAGTTCCTTCACGTCTGCCATGTTGTGTTTCGAAGCGGACAGCCACGCTTCTTTAACGCTGTTGAACATTCTATCGGCTAAGTCAAAATGGCCACCCTGCGAACAATTTCAATCTCAATTATGTGCGAAAACGAAAGATTTCGCGCGAAGACGATGACGGTTTCACGCGCGTACGAACCTGTAATCTGAGAAAATGTTGCGTGAACGGTTCCATTCTCACCAGATACGAACACACTATCATCGCTGACGAGTAGTGGGTGCCGTAATGATAAGGAGGAGTCTCTCCGTGCGGATCATCCCACTCTTTGTATCTTAATGCGCAACAGAAATCATCATTTTAGAACATCCTTTTCGCGTTAGACGGAAGATCTCATTTATAAATACGTGTGTATTGAAATTTGTCTGCACACCTTTTCTTAAATTGCAACAGTCGTTCTGGGCTTTGCGCGCCCATGGGTTTGCCAAAATCTCTGAACGTTAACGGATCCGTGAGATCGAGTTCTTCGCTGTCGTAATCGGCCAAGATCCATGGGAATATCGGGTATTGCATGAGATCATTGTAACTACGACCCGCCAAAGTGTTCAAATGCATCAGGTATTGAAAATTCGATATTTCTCCCCGCTACGTGTAAAAATATAATTCGTTATTTCGTGTTGAAGACTGTAATCTATATATTTCTGAGTCTATTTGTCTCTCTCGTGTTACTATACAACTACTAACCACCCATCGTTGAGTCACCGATGTTTCTCCTATGAGGTTCGAGAGTAAACCAGTGGCCTGCTCGACATTCGCCGTTCGTCTCTGACCAGCCACGGACTGCTGCGCGTTGTCAGCAATCGCGGTGGCGAACGTCATGAATCTCTGATAGACTTTGTTTCTCACTTTTCGCGGAAACGCCAACAAGTAATTCCTACCATCCCCGCTGAACACCTCGAGCGCCATGGGTTGCAGCAGGTATCGTCTCTTGTGCACTTCTCTTCACGAATAATACGAAGTTTCGCGTAAGTAAACCTGGTTTCGCTTTTATTCAAAATAAAAGTGAACTCGAAAAATTATACCTGATATCCTCATAATTGAACTTGGAACACTGTCTCATCGCTCTTGACCTTCTGGGAGATCCCGGCGACGGTAAGATCGGCTCGTAAGCCTCCGGCAAACTCTCTATGTCTCTTATCTCCCTGGACTTCGACAATGTAAACCCGTCGATCACATAAAAATGTTCCTTCCCGAATAGGAGTATACCCTCGGTCGTGTCCAAACCTTGTATTCTCGCGCATCTGAACATGTGACTTATCTGAAACAAAGAACAATCGGGAAAAATATAAAACAAGACAACTACTCGTGCAATATCGTGAATAATCACTTATGTGAACGCACCTTCTCGTGTTCTTCGAGTAGACGTAATAAAGTCTGATTGTCTGGGACAGTTTGGTTGGTCTCCTCTTCCTGTTCGTTATCCTCGGGCGCCTCGTCCGGCTCGCTCGCGTGACGTTCCAGCGTGCATGGAACCATCGGTGGCTCGCTCTCGGTGGACGTTTCATTGACGTTAAGCGGCATTTCGTCTATAACGGGATCTCGTTCGCGATCGAACATTCCCGACGAGTTGCCAAGCTGCTTTAGATAGTACTCTTTGCTATCCATGCTCGTCGCTACTTTATACTTGTGTTGTTTCTGCACACATACAATAGATCAATGTGTATCACGGCTGTGTGTCTGCGAGAGGTTTTCATGTTTTCCGATTGTCTCGAAAATGCACTTACGTTATCGGGATGTTCCAGTTCAGGCCGATACGGGTAATGTATATAAAAGAGTTCGTTCTTCATCATCTTCTTTCGCATTCTGCACGGCCCTTCGGTCATGTCCAACATCCACTTGTCAAGCTGAGTGGGCGTTGGAGGTCCCCACAGGCCGCGTTCTCTGGTCAATTCCGTCTCGGTTTGCAACCACTCCTGCAAAACGGATTGAAAGAGATAATTCTTTGGTGCAATCGAAAAATAAAATTATTAAACAAAAAAATTTTCATCGGGCAGATTTTCTTACTTGATACACGTAACGCTGAGTGTGCAGATTAGTTTGTTGATGCTGCAAACGTCTCACCGCGGCAAGTTCTCTGACCAGCGCTACGTGCTGCTCCGTCCATCGAGCAACGGTGTTTTGATGTAGCCTAAGTTTTACGCGTACAGACTCTTCCTTTCGCACTTTCGTTCGACTCGCTAATCTCGTCAATCCTCCGGTCACTTTCTGAATTTTCTGCAATTGTTTTGTATATACGTCACACGTGTGTTCAAATAGAAAAAAAAAAAAAAACTAAGCCAAATAGTGCAATTTCTTTCTTGGCTTCTAACGATTAGACATCGGTCTGTGTAACTGTTTTTTTTTTTTTTTTTTGACATACCGACTGGATTTGATTGTGAAGTTCCCAAGGAACTCTGTACGATGCTCTTCTTTCCGAAACCACGTAATTCAACCAATGCTTCGACGCGGCCTCGTGAACCAGCTCTCTCACGACCGACAATTCCGGAGCTCGTTCATTGCCCACAGGTGGGGGTAGAGTCACTTTGAAAACCTCCTCTATCGCGGGCTTCTTACAAACATACAACTCCTCCCAGACTCTCGTCGCGGCGACGACCATTAAATTGTGTCCCTGATGAGATGTTAGTCTTTCGTCGCTGGATTCCACTTGCGGATTAACGTGCCAGGTTGTTTTCATGTTGGTGTCCAACATGATTTTTATATCAGCCGTCAGTTGCAACAGGCAATACGTTAAACAACCGATGAAATCCAATTCGTGATTACCGGCACCAAACACTAATAATCTACAAAACAAACAATTGTAACAATGGAAATTCATGCGCGCGCACAGAATTCATCAAAAATGAACACATGACTACCTATGAGTAGTAAGCTTATGTAACGCCTCTAACACGGCCATTTGATCGGCAATGGAATCGGTTGCACGTGACAATAAGAATAAAATTGTTCTGTTCAGGCAGTGATGAAGACCTTCCATGCTAACGGCACCTGATCGCCTTTTCGCTTGGCCAATCAACTTCACAATAAAGTCAAACACTTCGTGCGGGTCTTTCGTCAGAGCACCTAGACATAACGAGAAGTCAACGTAATGTTATTCATTAGTTTTTGATTTTTTTGAATTAACTCAAGATGCATTAGATTTTTAAATGTCCCACCTTGCCATAATTTGTCCACTATTCTGGCCGCCACGTAGCACACGTTGGTAGTTATATTATTGGCCGATCCACCGGGAACGACAGGCAACGCAGCCTGTTCTCCGATCAATACATCCGCGGCTAACAAATGTTCCATCAGTATAGACAACACTTCCGTTTGATAACGCGTTTGCTGTCCTGTCGATGCGTGTTCCGGCCACGCTTCCAAGACGAGATCAATCGCCGGCGACTTTGTCGTTACCGGTAACGAAAGCGAATCGACAACGATCACTTTAAAAAAGTCCATCACAAATTTCTTTGCCGGATGATTCGTCAGTCCAACGTCTTTCGACGGCGATCTCACTAATACTGGTTCCTGCTGCAATTAATGTTTAAAAAATGTGTTTTCTAGTTAAAAATCCACAAAATATATTTATATTACAATAAAATTTTTTTTTATTTACAATTTAATGTGTGACGGTTGTGTTACTTGAGATTTGTTTGTTCTGAAAAATTACAAAATAGAGAAAAAATATTTCGTAAATTACCTCGTCAGCTGGGGTACTAGCACCACTACTGTCTTGACTAGAACTCGCAGGTTTCGGAAACAGGGTCCCAGCTAAGGCACCCAGAACTTCCGCGGACATAAAGACTTGCATAAAATCGGTGAAATTGCGATACAGGAAGAATAGGAATTGTATTATTGTCACAGGATAATCATTCAACCACGCCGGTAACGTTTCTGTGCTACTGTGGAAAAAGAAGTAAAATTTTATTATTACCGAATGTTTATTTTAAAACGTGTAATGTGTGAGAAAACATATTGTGTGATCTAGTATACCATCAACTTACTTGTTCGAGTGATTATTCAGCATGGTTCGCACCATAGCGAGTAACGTGACCATTGCCTCGGGACAAAGATTGATTTTACTAGCGAAGGACGACAGCGTGTGATTTGCCGGTACTCCGAACATGAAATTCCAAATGTTGTCCAAATCGAGCTGTCGAGTACATAAGTACATGACATCGGTGCGAAATAATAAATGAGTGTAATTTTTAGCACATTGATTCGTTGGAATATAAGCCAATCTCAATCAATAGTTGGATGCTTGCATATTTCACCTTGGAATCGGTGGGTAACAACTTCACTGGCTGTCCCATCATGAGAGCTATGAAGAGAAAATAGAGTTCCGGAACGAGATCGATATGTTGCGGCAGCAACCAACCCAAATGCTGAAACCCTGGTACGTGAAGTCCAGGTGGTTTGATGTCACCAATTGACATTTGTTGATGACAACCTGCGTTGTCGAAGACACAACCGTAATCGTCACGAATTTGATACTGGCAAATATGTAATACAGTTCAAAAGTATTTTACCAAGTGCTAGTGCCATGTTGTTGTGATCGGTATGCCGCAGCCAACCGCCGTCGCTCGTTCCTTCTTTGAATTTTTGCAAAATTGATTGCACCGAACATACCGCCACGAGTATACGTAAGCCCCAGATAACAGTAGTACTATGAAGACCCGACTGGAGGAACAACAATATCCAATCTAGGCCCAAAACTTTGGCTACTTCTTCGCACATACTGCAAGAGTAGGATCGCAATGTTTACCGATCGGCTTGCGTGTTGGCGTAATACCGAGAAAAAACTGTTCATGTGATTACTTACTTTACATTAACTTTGGTTCCATTAAACAACAATGAATGTAAAAGCTGTAAACAACGATTACGCAAAAGTATACTTTCTCCCTCTCCGTCCTTACTTCCCTCTCCTTCTCTGAGAACTAGGTGTTTTTCCGAACATAGCGGTAATGTAGCTACGATAAATTGTCCGAACCTTAACAAAGAAAACGGGCAGTTACGCGGAAAATCGATAAGATATATTTAATATTTAATTAATTGTACAAGCACGCGAGAGAATTGCTCACCACAATAAGTCAGCTTGTCGTGGTTGGCTCAACAATATACTAAGAAGTGCCAGAAGGATCTGTCTGGTGCTACCTAGTTTCACGTCATTTAAAATATGCAATAATTTATGCACTAATTGTAAATCCCTCATCAATCGTAAATTAGTCCGTTTTTCACTGGATTCCGCTATTAGTTCATACAAATGTTCGAGGAGAGATCTAAGCAATTCTCCAGGTGCTTCGTGCCAAACCTGAAACGATAAGTTATTTTTCTCAGAAATGGCCAATATATTTCGTTTCAATCACGTAACTCATTATAAAAGTTTTGTCTACACTTACCTGCAGGTCACACAAAAGGTCGTTAAACGCTACAACGTTAGGAATTGCACTGGTTTCTCGACCACTGTCCACTGTCCCCACGAGACTGAACGTTAAGTGCAATATGTGGCTGTTCAGAAGAGGACACTTCCTTCTTAACAACATAGCCAAAGTTTGATATCCCCTTCTGCGATCCATCTCCTGTTGGGCCGCTTGGTTGGATCTCACTACACAAACTAGTGCCTTTACAGCCGCGTACAAAGATTCTACATCTTGGGCCATAGCTATTAAACCTGTGAAACAGATTTGAAAAATCGTCTTTTAATCTCGCTTCACGTTATCAAAGATCGACGTAATAAATTTTCATTATTTTATTCTTTCTCATACCTAATAACACTGAACATCCTCCTACATTGTCGATCATAGTAGCAACTGGTTTAGGACTAAACACACGAACGCCAAGGTAACCAACAACTACACCACCTAATGCTCTGGCTGGGCCGCTGAGGTGTCCAGCGGAATTATGAAGAACTCTGATGGGTGTAGCGTTCTCGTGGGACGACATGCCGAGCTGTTTGGCAATTGACTTATTATCAGCTCGGCTGTAAACTTTTCTAATTTTAGCTAAGGTTAATTGTGACATAGCTTTTGCATTCAGTCCGAACACGACTTTTTCCTCAGCCACGAGAGCTGTTAAAGGTTCAGGTCCTGAAACAACACACACATGTTTGTATTAATATCTATAATTGTTTATAGAATTATAGTTGTTTTTATATCTATTTTGGCACACAGTACCACTTAATTGCGGAGCTTGCAAGCTTCCCATGTAATGCGGTCCCAATTTAAACAAAGTCGCAATGTTTTGAGAATTAAACACTTCCTCCACCAAGTGGCACGGTCCTTGTTTCCACGTTAATCTGGAATATCTGCGCCAGCACGGCGGCGTGCCGATGTAACCGTAAACTGGAGAAGCCATAGTTAAGTTAGCTGCTCCACCTCCGGGAACTTGCGTGATGTAATGAAGCTGAAAGTGAAAGATCGCGATAACGTGAGTTGTGAAAGATCTATTAACATAATTTCAATGAGATGGTTACCTTCTGACTGTGAATATGTTGTCCATCTAGATATAAGGAGAAGCTGGAGTTTTTAAGCACTGCCCGATTTAGTACAATAGCGATGTGATGCCATTGTCCCTCATGGAGCAAGTCGGGACACCAAACTCGGGCGCCACATTCACCTGTTCCGTCAGGCTCCCATTCACCTGTGTCTAAGCGCACATTAAATTGCCATCGTGTCATTTTTTTCATCTCGATAATGTACAAGTACAGCACAACAATACTCACTTTGCGGAATCGGTGTCTCCAGAGTGGAGACGATGATAGCTTTATCTCTAGCGCTAAGAACAGCAGTCAGGCAAATTAAATCTCTCGCGGATTGTGGGGTACGCACTAAAGTGAGTAATCTTACGCAATGGGGATCTGTTCTAGGATCGCTAAATTTGTCAACGCATATCCATGTACTGTATGTTAAGCCGGTCTGTGGTGGGAATAATCTATCGCCTGAAAATAAAATTCTTTCTGATGCAATCACATCTTACACACATACGCAACGTATATGTATTTACCTGATCCAATTCCTCCCAGTACACTATTGTCTGCAGACACAACGGTAGGTGGTGTGGTGCTTTGAGGAGCAACGCTCGGTAGATACAGACACGCAAATCCCTCAGCGCTCATATCTAGTTCCACAAAAGGTGGTAAAGTGCACGAACCGTGAGCCCTGAAGTCTTTGGGTGTCGTCATCGACACCAATGTCTTAATTCGCGTTAGAGGAACTGGTCCTCCCCTAGGCTTGTTCGGCTCGATATCGTCCAACGAAATGCAACACAACGGATCGCCCAAACGTAGAAATTCTCTAGAAAAAAAAAAAACAAAAAAAAAAAGATTAAATCGTGAATACTGACAATTTACGTGTATAAATTTCTTTGATACTTTCTTCTCGTTTGTACTTTAATCTCACCTTAGATCTCTCGGTTCCAACGATTGCGCCGCAAGTCTTTCTATGATGTATTGCAGAGGTTGGTGAAGCGGATGCGTCTCATCTTGCAGAGCGATTCTACCCACAGATAACAATTCTCCAGCCATACCGGATTCACACATCACTTGCTGATTTCTCTCTGATCGCACCAAGCTCTTGATGATCTCCGCCACGTACAATTGTAACGCCAGTGCCATTTGCGGATTGCTCGGTTCGGATATAGAGGGAAGTAAATGGAGCATTCCGACTACTATGCCAGGATGAACTACAATTGGCTCGGGTGCGGGTGGGCTGAGGTTTAAGGAATTTATAATACATCTCTTGCCACTTCCGGGAGAATCGAATGACTTGTTTTGCTGAAAATTACAGTCTGATCAATCGCGATACATCTTCATTAATTTAACACAAAGAACGTTGATAATCGAATCAAAAACTACCTCCGAACTATTTTGTTTATGACTTGGAGATCTTATTCCTACGTTAGCCAAATTCGGTTTGTCGAATGAATCGAGCGCCACGTCGTAAAGCAAACGCAGCAGCAAACAGGCGTATCCTAATGTTTTTGGCATATCGTCCGGAAATACCGGTTCTAACACGTTCCCGGTAAATAATGACACCAGCATGTTGTGATAATTCATAGTTGGTATCGTATCCGTCTCGGTGATTTTTGTTTGTGTCGAAAAACAACCAAGAAGACGTAAAGTATCACACAAACTCGATTGGCAGATCTACAAGTTTAGTTTTAACACAACAAATAACAAGAGAAACAATGTGTAATTATTACAACAAATGATTTGTGTACCTCGTGATGAAAGAATTTTGCGTTTGCTGGTTCAAATCGCATGGCGGTGCTTATGGTATAAAATACTATATGTAGTAAAATTAGTAATTGGCTTTCGTCCTGCATAGTTCTCTGCGCGTCGTTATACGGTTCGTTCTTTTCCAGTCTTTGCGGTCCCAATTGACCTTCCAAAGACACCAAGACCGACATTACGTAAACGAAGCCCCCGACTTTTCGGAAAACCGTCCTTGTTCTGTGCGACTCTCGCAAACATGCTAGCAAAGACTGAAAAACGTTCCACATTAGCGAGTCCACTTTGTGAAGATGAAAACACAAAGCGAGATGAGAAAAACTCACTTTTAATATATGTGTCTTTAGAATCAATGCGTTAGGAGGTGCCGAATGCATAACTCCCAACAGCGTAGCCATGTCGTCATCGCCACCCGCGCTGAGTATCAATTCTCTTACAATACCAAGCGCTTGATACCGACAATCTACATAGGGCACTAGATTATGAGCGCAACGTGCGCCGCCGCATTCCCTAAAGACATTCGCGTTTTGAACATTACTCGCTAATAACGTTGTTAAAGCCTCCATTACTAAGGCACCCAATCTTTCATCCTCAGGGCATATTGTGTATTCTAAAAAATCAGATCGAGCAATTAAAAAAAAAAATAAGACCGACAGTAAAAACTAACATGACACAGATCGATCAATTAAATTTTTAATTGAAATTAAATTACCTAATCCTTGATCTATCGCAGCTTGCTTATCTTTAAGCAATGTCGCGTACCGATGAAGACAAGTCACAAAAACTTCCAGCAAACCAACCTCTCTATAAACATCTTTAAATATAGTGTTGTGTCTGTAAACGGGCACACAATTTTTACTTAGAATATAACATTCTTCCATAATCTAATTGTAAGATAAAAAAAAAACTTGCTCTCCGTTAGAAATCTCTCGATATTACCTGAGTATATTTTGAAGTGTTTCCATACACGTAATACTGCAAGAAACTGAATTGTTTGTTTTCAGCAAAATGGATAGAGATATGAGCTCTTTACACGGAACGAAATTAAGGTGGAAAACTATGAATTCCAACAGCTGAAAGAATTTCTCTTGTATCTCCGGATTTTTCAAATGAATCTTCTCGGCAAACTGTGACAAAGTGTTTTGTCCCTCGAGGATAAAATAATTCGCATTGTCACTGTGATACACGCTAGATATCGCGTCTAGTATGGTGCAGCACAGAAGCGGAGAATTAGATTTCACGAATACAGATTGCAACACTTGAAACGCGTGAATATTTCTGACGCTTCCACCTGTGAACACAAAGAATTGCATTTATTCTCATTTCACATGTACGTATTCAATTTATATATATATATAACAACTTATTAGTACAATTACCTCTGTTGCTGGGCTGTGGCAAGGTGAATCCAAGCATTTGAAATAAAGAACCCATACTAGCTTGACTTGGTTTTAACTCTGTATGGCCGCACATCGTTAGTGATGCTAACATTAGGACCAAGTTTCGGATAGCATCTTGTGCTTCCGCCCTATTATCTTGCTCTAATCTCGACGGAGCGTGTCTGCGGATATGTTTTCCGTTTTGCATCAATGCGCGACAACAATTTAATCAATCACTTCTCAATAATTATGGGATTTACTTACTTCAACAGAAACTCGGACAAAAAAATATAACCTTGACAAGCACGAAAGTCATCCAGCAACGTTTGGGAAACGTCGCTGGAATCCTTCAGGAAACAGAACACTGTTACAAACATTTCTACAACTTCTAATGGTGCCAGCTCAGGTACACGTTGCATATTATCTATACAGAGTGCTATGCATCCTTTATCTACAAGATAACGTCAGGATGTTAGATGAACAATATCGTTTGGATTGTTCACACGAATATGACAAAAATTTGATAAACGTTCTTACTATGAATATAGGCAACTACATTCTGTGTAAGACCATGTCGTGACAATGTCATCAAAACTTCGGCGGCACTTTTACGCCACATAATATTATACTGCGGACACCAACTGGTTATTGCTGAGAATAATAAGGTCAGATCATCTTTACGAGCGAGTTCTTCTGCGGGATACGGATGACTACATAATCTTACCAACAACTGTGAAGAGCAAGAAAAAAAATTAAAATCCGCGTCACGAGAAACAGATGTTTGAAGAAAATTATACGCATGTGTGGACAATTTTTTCTTTATCACCTGAACAAATATTTTTTGTAATAGTATCCTACGTTCTCTAGGAGTGAATTCACTATTGGCATCTGTAATGTCAGCGTCTTCCTCATTCATCTCGGGTAGATCGAAGAACAAATATAAACATTTCACCAAAGTTGACGGAACCGAGGCAGCGGTCATGGCCTGCAAGTGGGAAAACAATTGGATAATAGAAATATTGTGGAAAACGTCGCAACGGCCGTTGCCCAATCACCGATAAAATTCAAACTCACTTGTATCAGAGAAGTATCACCCGCCGCCAGCAGATTCAACGCCGACAACAACATCCAACCGTTGCTCGACTCTTCGCTGTTCTCGATCTCTAAAAACTTTACAATGGCACAACTCGCCGTCTCGGTGCTCTGGTTGCTCGCTCTTCTCCTGATCTCAGATACCATCAGTCTTGATACTTGCTGCGTGAATACCAAAATGTCCCAGAATTTTTCATTCATATCTCCCGACGGACTAGACCCGAATACCTGAAAAAAAAAATCAAAAAGTGCTCTTATTGCAGTTGCGTTGTGAGAGAAATAATAAAGGAGAACTGAAACACACACGATTGAAACACTCGCATAGAAACACTAGAAGAAGATCAAGATTGTGTTTTTTTTTTCTCTACCTTGCAAAACAATGGCAACATGTTGTACAATTTGTCGTCACGTTCGGCATCAGAGAGAGGATGTGGCGGGTGGGTGTATTCGGAAAATAGTTTCTTGAGATGCATAAGCCCCAGAGCGGTGTGTTGAGGATTCGTACCTCCCGCACAATCGTCTAAACTACCGGTACTGCTTGAACCCATACCTCCGACACTGGTGCCCCCTCGTAATTTGCGCATTATGTTCATACTTAAAATTTGCTGAAAATTAAACATCCCTTAGTTTACAATTTTTTTTTTTTTATTTATTACAAGAGTATTTTCATTGAAGTGTGTGTGTGTTTATATAAAAAGTGTTTATTCAATTATCACTATTATCAATATGTGTTTATTTAATTATCTCTATGTCATTCCTAATGATTCGGATCATAAAATTATTCTCTCTCAACCGCGAGCGTTAAACAAAACTCAATTAAAAAATTAGATCTTTTTTTTTTTTTTTTTAATCACTACAAGTTCACAAAAAATTATTAAACACACAATCGCGATATGTGCCTGACGTGTGTGCCGTGCGAGAGAATTGTATCAAAAATAAACAATATAAACTCTCTCACTCTCTCTCACTCTCTCTCACTCACTCCAAGAGGGTGAGAGGGTGAGATAGAAAGAGAGAATCGGATCAATACAAAAACTAATCAATATGAATAAGCTATTTTAATGAATCGAGACGTAAAAGTCAACGTGCTTAAAAAAAAAAAACCCGAACGACGCAAAATGAAAGACACATACGTTCGTTCGTACGCACACACACACGCGCGCGCGCGCGCGCGTACACATAGAGACAGCACAGCCACGCACAGCCGTACACGTTAACGCAAATCAAGCGTCAAAAAAACACACTGATTTAAATACTTAAAACAATCGGCAAGCGGAGGTGAGAACACGCGGCGTGTAACAGCAGTACATGATCTCAACGGTGAACCATCAGCAATTACGTTCGGACACTTGTCGGCATTGACATGATCGCGGATGATGATGTTAACAGATCGAGCAGCGTGGAGCGCGTGAAAATGGCACGACTTTGCGCGAAACGGGCAACGGTCTCGCCATATCGGTCGTCGAATTGGGCGCTCGGCGCCCAACAACGAGTTTTTGACAGTTCCGAGTTTCTACTCGGCGGTCAACGCGGCGTAGATCAACGGCAGCGCCGAGAGCATCTGGTATATATTTACGTCCGTGTCCGCGACTCCGATCTCAAAATGTCAAATTGACGAGATGTCAGCCGCGCCGCGATCTCACACTACTACTAACACTACTGGTTCGTCCGCGCGCAGCGCACACATACACACACACAGACACACACGCACGCATACTCACACGTCGCGAAACCGCCCATGAATGTCAACCGAGGAATAACATCCTCTGACTGAGATTACACGCATCGCCGATCGCACGCACGGATAAACCGGAAGATTTTTTTACCTGGAACGCGCCGCCAGCTTGGGAAATTCTACGCTCTCTGTCGGCAAATCGTCATGTCGGTACGCACGGGCACGAGAGACTCGGTAAAATACTCGAGTGGCAGCGGCCATCTTCGGTATTTGACAGTTGTACGGCGGCCAAACGCGCGATACGTCAATAAGACGGTCATGTGATCCGCGTTGCCGATCCACGCCGCTCTTCCCTCGTTTTTTAAAGGCCAGTTGTGTTTTTGTTCGAAAACGAGGAGGAGGCGTAATGACAGGCGGCCTCATTGACGGAGACTCGGCGATTGAGAAAACTTATTGGATAGCCAACGTCATTGGTGACGTAAACCGCGAGCGTTTACGCGCCGTTTCCGCCGCAAAAACATCGTTCACCGGTGATCGACTAGTTCTCGACTAGATAAAAAAAAAAAAAAAAAAAAAAAAAAAAAAAGACTCATCTCTAGAGAAGGTAATTTTCCAGACCGATCTTGCGCGTCCACGATGCTGGAAATCGGAGTCTAAAATCGAAGAAATCGACCAATCGCGTTGGAACAGTTGCGGCCAAATTGACCGACGCGATTGGTCAAGTTTCTCTCAAAGTCGAGTGAAAACTCTGTCGGAATTGCGATAGAACTACTTTTGCGTATTTGTATTTGTTATGTATTTTCGTAGCTAGATCGCGCTCTATTTTTGCTGTATTATTCTGTTGTTAGGACTGTTAGGATATGACAGATCTTGTTCCTGTTTCGCGAATTGTTGCGGTTGTACCGGGAAAACCCCCTATCTGGGTTTTATCTTTCATTCCAACCGAGTTACCATGAAATTGTGTTGCAAATGTTATTGTAACGTTGCGTCTTGTTGCAGTTTGGTCTCGTAATTTTTTCGTTTAAATCAAAAGCGTGCGGAGTCACTACATGTAGCACCAAGATACCTGTTGTGCCAAACTCTGGACTGTTTCGCATTTTTGGCTGTGTGTATATTACGTGTTTTTTTTTTTTTTTTTACCTGTGAAGTATATATACAAAATGTCAGATGTGGAAATGACAATTGACGAACCGTTGTCCCCGGATTTATTCTCAGACGCAATGGAGGAAGTACTGGACACCCCCAATGTCAATTCAACTGGTAAGAATTTGTTGCAGTTTTTCTTTAATTTCTTTGTTACTTTGTTTGCGATGATATCAATGTTTTTTTTTTACAATGAAGCTAGTTCCATGTCTATTGGTCCTAACGAGCCAGAGCCTTCCGTACCTGAATGGAAATGCATGAGTTTGGAAGAAATAAACAAAGGTCTTGGCGTGTACGATTTTCAAGAGCATCCACCAATTGTTGCTTCTTCTTGTCACACTGTGCTGTTCATGGTACAATTTTACACAAACATAATAATAGTATTGTTCAAATTGTTCAAACACAATGTTTTGGTAGAAAAGACAACAATTACATTCTTGATTACGTTTTTTTAAATCACACATTCGTATCTTTTCCTGATCGCGTAGTTGCCATTACCTACTAACGGACCGCTGAAACCATATCCAACGCATCAAATTGACAAGTGGAGTCAAGATTACGTACGAATGCCTTATTCCGCGCATAGTTTATATCCAATAAAACAGGTATGTATTCACATATACAAACTATATCAGTAAGATCTCGAGTTTAGGAAGAGAAAACATTTGGAATATTTATTATTTTTAGGAAGGTAAAAAAAATTCCTACAGAAACAGATGGGAAGTTATTCAGGAAGCTTTACTCAGGAACATAATTACCAGCCAACAGTTGGAAAGTGCTATACTGTCGTACAATGATTACACACAGCGCTGGAATTTTGCAGCGCTTCATCATTTCTTTTCAGAGGTATGTCGTGCCCAATGCTATTTGACACACGTAATTCTAATTAACAAATTTATATTTTATAGTTAACACTTAACGTTTTGTATTTTTTTTTTTTTTTTTTTTTTTTCAATCTCTCCTTAATGAAGGTTATGGAAGTGGAAGAGACAAACCTTTTTTTCGAAACCTTACTGCCAAAACTGGTCCAACTTGCTTTGCAACTTCCTGTGCTGTTAACTGGCGCAGTGCCTCTATTGAAACGTCACACCAACGGCTCTATCAGCTTAAGTCAGCTTCAAGTAGCATCGTTGTTGGCAAACGCATTTTTCTGTACATTTCCTAGACGAAATTCCAGACAACTGGAATATGTGTTATTTCCTGATATTAATTTCAACAGGTAATGCCTTGAGTAATTTTAAAATTTAAATTTTTGTTGTTTATTATAGAGATGTTAAAATTATACTTGAAATTTTTCTCTTATCGTCTTTTTCTCTTGATTATATATTCCAGATTGTTTGCAGCTTTTACCAAAAAGAGACGTGGGCGAAGTGAGTCAGTCATAGAGAAAATCAAATGTATTCTTCATTACTTTAGAAGAGTAACATCTAAAGGTACGAAGCCGCGAGTACTTTTACACATACAGAACAGTATTTTCATCAGTCCGATCTTATATTTGAGATCATTTCAAAATTCATTAAAAAAAAAAAAAAATACAAGTCGGTAGCAACAGATCGATGAAGATGACTATTTTCAAAATGAGATCCGTCTGTGAGAATATCGGGTGTAAAAAAAACCTTTCGATTTTATTTTATTTTATTTTTTTACTATTTGAACACGTAGCCTGAGTGTGATGTTGATACATTGTGACTTTTACGTAGAGCAGCACCCGAAGGTGTAATAACAATTGAAAGACGTTACATTCCCCCGGAAAATTGTCCAAAGTGGGACGCGCTTCGTCAGAAATTGCCACCGTTGCATATAACGAGTAAAGGTACAATTGAAAATGAAGGAGCCGGAATGCTCCAAATGGATTTTGCAAACAGGTAAGCTTTACTGTAACTAACTTGCGCTAATCTGAGTTAAATACAAGTAATTACTATAATAAATATTTATTAACATTCTCTCTCCGTTTTGATTCGTATTGAATAGATACATCGGTGGGGGCGTGCTAGGTTTCGGTTGTGTGCAAGAAGAAATTCGGTTCGTCATATGTCCGGAACTTCTAGTCACTATGTTGGTTACGGAAGAATTAGACAAGACAGAGGCGCTCATCGTCAGTGGCGTCGAGCGTTACAGCAAATACGAAGGTTACGGTAACACTTTCAAGTGGACAGGCAACTTTATCGACGATACACCAAGGGACAGTAGCGGCAGACGTATGACATCTATCGTTGCCATTGACGCCCTTTTTTTCAAACAACCTCAATTGCAATTCAAAACAGATAACATAATCCGTGAACTTAATAAGGTATTGTATATTTCACTGGCATTCAGTAACGCTGTAATTATTGAAACTAATTGTTTTTAAGTCTTCAAAAGTGATAAATTATTATTGTAATTTTTTCACAGGCGTATGTCGGATTCGCTCGACCCAATGCTCAAACTAATCTGCCCGCAATCGCGACAGGAAACTGGGGATGTGGAGTGTACCGTGGGAATCCAAAATTGAAGGTGTTGATACAGTTGATGGCGGCGGGAATTTCATCACGATCTGTGGTTTATTTCACTTTCGGAAACACAGAATTGAGAGATGATGTGGCGACCATGTACACGCATCTGGTTCAACATGATATCGACATAGGTAATTTATTTAATTTGTATTCGTTTTGATACACACATATGAAAATTTATAAATTATTACATTTGCACGCGTTCTGCACAGGACGACTTTATTCAATATTATTGGAGTATCAGCGAGAACCTGCTTCTTCGGATTTTTATTGTTTCTTATACAACAGAAGTAGGATAAAATCGTTGAGCAATCATTTCCCTGCAAAATCGCAAAGTCCGTTGGCGAGTTTACGCAAGAAGAATGAAATCGCGACTCCAAACAAAAATGTCGATAACAAGCGTTATCATTGTTCGAAAGATAAGAAAAAGGAAACGAAGGAAGAACAAATCATTAATTGGCTCGAGAGTTGCGATGACGACAACAGCAGCGATAACGCTACACTGAACACGGGGAATCTTTGCGATGACAAAATCACAATTCCGAACAAAGGAACGAACGATCGTAAAACCGCACAGTACAGTGATATAGAAAACAATCATTTTATAAACACTTACATCGTTGAGGAAGAAAACAAAACAAGCAAATTAACAGATAAGTCAGACAACAACGTGAACCTCTTGACCTTGGAAGATTCGACTGCTCCAAGTACCACTCCGGATCAAGACGTTCCGAAGAAAATGAGATCCGAATTGTTGGAATCTACGGTTTCGAATGACAGTAAATCTGTAAAAAAACACTCCCTGGAATTGTGTAAACAAAACTCACTCTCGAAAAAAAGTGGCCAAAAAAAAATCTCTGACTTTTTTCAACGAATATCTTAAGAAAACTATTCCAATATCAATTAGCTCACTTAATATTATTATACTTGTAAACACATATTGTGTACCATTTTGAACTGATTTGAAAGGTGAAATAATAATATTCGTAATTACTCTGTTGAGTAATGAGTTCTTAATTTAAAACAAAATTAGAAAAGATAAAATATGAAAATTATTCTTGGAATGGTGCAGTCTCATACTGACAAAGAAGGTGAGAAATGCTCACTTTTTCATCCACAAAAATGTAAAAAACTGTTAAAATTGTATACAAATGTACAAAATGTACCATGTACTTGAAAATTGTATTATATAACTTTTTTTTTGAAAAACAATAAAAAAATTGAAAACGGTTCTTTGTAAAGAAGTCGCCGGCAATGTTTCCTCACCTCAAACCTGTTTTTTTTGCGATATTGGTGTTTTTGTGTTGTCTTTCGTGAGAATTGTTATTAAAGCAAAGTTTATATTTGTTTCTACTAGAAAAAGCGTGTGCAAATAATCAGAATCGATTCTATCGATCTTGCCTCTTTTCCGCGACGTTGATAAAAATGTAACTAAAGTCAAGTGACAGGAAAGAGTAGAAAAACAACACGTGAAAATAACGTGACTGTGAAATTTATATTATATATAACATTAAATAATACATATTATACATATAATTTATTATATATTTATAATATTATACTTTATATTGTATTATATGTATTATATACATACTACAGTAATGTCACTGACCTCGGCCGCGCGACTTTGGCGGGGTCACNCATTGACCTCGGCCGCGCGGCCTTGGCGGGGTCATTGACCTCGGCCGCGCGGCCTTGGTGGGGGGGGTCACTGACCCGGGCGCGCGGCCTTGGTGGGGGAGGGTCACTGACCCGGGCGCGCGGCCTTGGTGGGGGAGGGTCACTGACCCGGGCGCGCGGCCTTGGTGGGGGGGTTCAATGACCTCGGTCACGCGACTGCGGTAGAGTCACTGACCTCGGCCGCGCGACCGCGGCGGTGTTACTGACTTCGGTCACGTGATTACGGTATATATATATATAATATATATATATACATATATGCGTATGTGTGTATATTATATATAGATATAGAATATTACATATAATATATATAATATTCTCTTTTTTACCCTTTTCCCTGTCACGCGTAACTTTAGTCACATGTTGGTTTTCCACTTCTCTCTCTCACTATTTTTTAAGTTTGATTTTCATGCGTTATTTCTGACATTTCTCATATGTGTATTATATGGTTTATAAGACGTATGTACTATCTGTCATCGCGGTAACAGGTTGTGTTCACTGCCAACACGTTAAATAAAAATAACAATAGCGTGCGCCTGTGTTGTGTTAGTTTTTAATAAAAAGAATCTTCAACGTTGATTTTTCCCACCGTACTTTGTAAAATCGGATTGTGAGCCGACCTTTAAGATGATCTGCGAGAACGGAATATGAATTTCCTTTTATGAACACAGGTTTTCACCGAGCGATGCGCGATAAACATAAACACTCTTTAAAAAACGTAAATACACTTTACGATCTCAGAAAAATGAAGACATTTATCGCCTAATGACACACGCGAGCGAACTTGGAAAATTAAATTGTGCGAGAAATTTTTCTCACTTCCCGACGAAAATACGAACTACATGAGCCGCGTTGTATATTGACAGGTTACGTTTTTGCCGTGGAAAAGAAGAAAGAGAAAACTCGAGTCTTTCTGCACGTTCAGAATGACTTTGCCAGGTATTGGTGTATTTGGCACGGGGAGTATCGTAAGAATTATCATACCCTTTCTGAGAGAGAAGGGTTTCAAAATTGAAGCTATATGGGGTCGCACACTGGCGGAAGTCTCCAAAGTGGCGAGCGATCTCGAAATACCTTTTCACACCAGTCGCATCGACGACGTTCTTCTGAGGAAGGACGTGGATCTGATCTTCATAATGTGTTCGCCGAGCTTACATTCGCAGATCGCTGTCAAAGCGCTAGGTATAGGCAAGCACGTTGTGTGCGACAAACCCGCGGGCTTGAGCCAAAGAGAGGCCTTGAAGATGGTACGAGCTGCGCAGTATTACCCCTCGCTGATCAGCATAGTCAATCACAGTCTGAGGTTTCTGCCAGCTTTCGTGCACATGAAGAAGGCGCTCGAAGATAATTATCTAGGTGGGCCGGTAACAGTTATCGAAGTACGGGTACACATGGGAAGTTTGTTGCACAACGGTAAGACACATAGGAAAAATCAACATTGGAGACAACTTTTTTTCTGATTAAGTTTTCCATGTAAAAACTAATTTTTTTTCTTTAGGTTACGACTGGTTGTGCGATGATACAATGGGTGGAGGAATTTTAGCACTGGTGGGCAGTCATGTCATAGACTTGATTTTCCATTTGATGGGACAACGAGCTGCGAGGGTGCACGCCGTAGTGAGAACATTTACTCAAACGACCAAGCACATCAATGGTATCAGGCATGTCACATCGCCGGATTTCTGTAGTTTTCAAATGGAGTTGAGCAACGGGACCTTGGTGACGGCCACTCTGAGCAATCACCTGCAGGGACAGCTGTCCCAGGAAGTATTGATATGCGGCGGTGGGAATCACTTGGTTGTGCGTGGCGGAGACTTGTCCGGGTGTCGCAACGGACAGGAAGAAATCCTGTATCAAGATCCAGATGACTTGCAAGGAATATCCCTGTCCCTCGCCGACTCCATTCCGAAGCCTTATATCAAGGGACTCAGAAAGATGATCGCCGCTTTGAGAGAGGCCTTTCAGTCGGTGGAAGATAAGAGAGGTTGGATCAAGGAACCGGTGTTCTCCGCTTCCACATTCGAGGACGGCCTGTACGTACAGGCGGTTATCGACGCGTTGCGTCAAAGCAATAAACAGCGTGAATGGGTCAAAGTTAACATTCTGACGGAAGAACCAGATCCGAATCCATTGCTGAGCGCCGCTGTCAGAGCTACTGCGATTTCGATATAAAAGAACGTTTGCTCCATGCAAACCGATTATTGCTTACTGACAAAAGATCTGCTGATTCTGTTATATACTCGAGAAGAGTTTTTTTTATACACAAAGCAGTTGTGAGCAATATTTTTTAGGCAACTCTCGTAGTAGATTTTTTTTTATCTGTCATTTAAGTAACTTATGATGTATATTTATATTATATTTATATTAGCACTTAATTCATGTAAAAAGATTGTGTACATATAATTCGTTTCTATTTTATATTTTGTATTGTATATCTGTCCTATTTATATATCTCTCTCAACTAATGATTAAACCTGCTATTATACATGTAATGTAAGTAGTGTTGTGTACATACACATCTAATTTTTGAGAGATAAATTGTAGAATTATTAATCTTGTGGATTTTTGTTTTTATGTAATAATAAAATAATAACATATGTGTACGCTTTTGGTGTGTGCAATAATGTCTTTACAAAGAAGAAATGAGACAATTTCCTCTTTAGACCAGTGGTGGTGCCACTGGAAGTGCCACGTTTGAAACGTTCGCGCGTCCACTACATGAGGTCTCCAGCGTCGGAGTTGCGTCCGATTGCTGTCACCGGTTGTACAGGTTACATCAACGCATGGTGTAAAGAGACGTCGGAGCTAACCTCAGTTTTCTTTCTGCTATTACACAGTCTTTTATGGCCGCTCAGGCCGCTCTTATTCCTTTCTGATCAAACAGATAATTGCAATCATGGTTAAGGAACAGTTTAGAGAAACACATGTCGCCAGTGAAGTGTACGTATATATGTTTATTTTAACTATGATGCCGAAGTCTGTCTTTGCTAAATTATTTTTATTTTAAATAAATGAACTCTCAGGCCACCCGATAGCAAAAGAGAGATAGAAGATCGAGCTTCAACCCCGCGAAAAGTTTAACACGCACGAAAAGCCATTTTTCTTAGTTACAAGATATTAAATTTTTCAAGTTACGCTATCACCGCGTTCGCGAATATATTCGAACTCAGCAATAAAAAAGGATCAATAGGATGCTATTTTTGTTTTTTGTAGAAAAAGAAATTTTTTACAATTTATAGTTTTTTTTTTTATACATAGTATTGCCACATATTGTTTGCTTTAATATACTTGCATGTCTCGTTTAGCTCTCATATATCTTTTGGAGTGGACAGCATGCACGACATGCTCTTACAAGCCAGTGTAGAAGTTATTGGCAACCGTCTGTACAATGAGGATTCAGAACGCACTCCATTTCTACACGGACCACTTGACAGACGCATGGTAAATATTTTTTTTTTTCTTGTCTGGCGAGAGTCAAAAGAAAAAAGTTAATTTAAATTAATTCATTCACACAGGGATTAAGTTCAATGAAAGCTGAATGTGAAACATGTGGAAAGAAATTGAATGAATGCGTGGGACACTTCGGCTATATGGATCTAGCGATGCCAGTTTTTCATTGCGGCTATTTCAGATCAATCATACAGATCTTGCAAACCATCTGTAAGGTAATATCGAAGACGATCCGTTGAGATTTGTGTTAAAATTTAAATTTGACTTTTATGAACAAAATCACTTTTCCACAGAAATGCGCTCATGTATTGTTGACGAGTGAGGAAAGAAAATTTTTTTTTTCCAAAGTACTAAATCCAAATCTGCGATATTTAACTCGCAAGGCATTGCGCAAGCAAATTTGGGAGAAGGCGAGAAAAAAGACGGAGTGTCCAAATTGCAAGGCGAACAATGGCCCCGTTAAGAAGTCTGGCTTTCTCCAGATTGTACACGAAGCTTACAAAAACTTGAAGAAAACAGATCCCATTATTCAAAACAAATTGAACGAATTGAGCCCAGCACTGGAACACGATCAGGAATTTAAGAATCTAGTAGACCAAAACTATCGCACCGTTTTTGATGAATCTTTATATCCGAATGTGGTACGATTTTAACGTTTCTACTTTTGCAATTTCAATCGATTTCTCTCTTTGCTCAAAAAGAGTAATTTTATATCTCATATATTTTCTTTAAGGTTCGCGAGCTTTTTACTAGGATTCCGACGGGCGATATGTGTCTTTTGTTGATGGACTCAGATAGTGCGACGCCGGTGGATTTGTTACTATCAAGAATTCCCGTACCGCCAATTTGCATTAGACCTAGCGTTGCGTCTGAACTAAAAGTCGGTACTAACGAGGATTCTCTTACAATGACGGTGTCAAAAATTGCTATTATCAATGAGGGCATTCGCAAGGGAATGGCCGGTGCTAATATACAACAGTTAATGGACGTTTGGGAGTACCTGCAATTGCATTGTGGTCTTTACATCAACGGCGACATGTCCGGGATACCTAAACACATAAAGGTAAGTTATTGTTCGAACATTAGATGGGATTTGTTTGACTTTTCTGTCTCTTTTCTACAGCAATTGATTGTTTCAGCCGAAAGAAAGAACCAGAGGCATAGTACAGAGATTAAAGGGCAAGCAAGGTCGTTTCAGAGGTAATTTATCTGGCAAGCGCGTTGATTTCACCGCTCGTACAGTGATTTCACCTGATCCAAATCTTCGAATAGATCAGGTAAGTGTATCAGAGAGAAAGGGTAACTTGATCTGTGTCATTACAATATAGTACATAAACAAATTTTTTTTTTTTTTTTTTGATCAGGTTGGTGTACCCATATACGTTGCGATGACGTTAACATATCCTGAAAGAGTTAATTCGTCGAATATAGAATTGATGCGGAAGTTAGTCCGAAACGGCCCGGACAAGCATCCTGGAGCGAACTACATACAATACAAGAATTTACAAGATAGAAGATATCTCAGATACGCTGATCGATCGAAAGTTGCTCAAGAGTTACAGGTAGCTTCTCTTGACATATGTTGAAATATATATATATATATACTTTATATTGTTCGAAACTTTTTTCACGTTGATTTATCAATCTGGATAAATAACATTTAAAGTGGAAGACACGCTGATTGCTGCGGTTTTCTTAATTATCTTTCTATCTTATAATTCTTTTTATTTTTTATTTTGTAGTATGGTGATATTGTTGAGAGACATCTCAAGGACGATGATTTGGTGTTGTTTAACAGACAGCCGTCGCTGCACAAATTAAGTTTGATGGTACACAAAGCTAAGATCTTGCAGCACCGAACGTTTCGATTCAATGAATGCGTTTGCACGCCTTACAACGCGGACTTCGACGGCGATGAAATGAATCTTCATTTACCACAGACCGAGGAAGCGAAAGCAGAAGCGCTAGTTCTGCTGGCGGTAAAAAGATCGACATACTTATTATAAATTTATTTTCTCGCCATAAGATTATTAAATTATCAGGATAGCCTGTTGTACGAACGCGTAGTTTGAAATATTTCGTTTTGTAGAATAAATCCAACTTGGTTACACCTCGCAACGGTGAATTGCTGATAGCAGCGACGCAAGATTTCATCACCGGCGCCTATCTCCTAACTCAGAAAGATAGATTTTTCACCGTCGCGGAGGCTAGATTGGCCGTTTGCTTCTTGGCCGGTTTGGACTCAACCACAGTTGTAACTCTTCCTCCGCCTGCAATTGTATATCCGATCAAGTTATGGACCGGCAAGCAAATATTCAGTCTGATCATGCGACCGAATCCGGATTGCCCTGTCAAAGCGAATCTGAAGACGAAAGGCAAGTCGTACACCAAGAACGAAGAATTTTGCGTTAACGATTCCTGTAAGTTTTAATAACGATTGTAATGATTTAGACTTTTTGCCGCAAACGGCTCGCTGAATAATCGAACCAAATTTTTTTTTTTTTAACAGACGTCATCATTCGCAATTCTGAGCTTCTAGCGGGATCGATGGACAAGTCCATAATTGGTTCGGGTTCGAAGCAAAACATATTTTATTTTTTGCTGTGTGACTACGGCGAGGATGTTGCGATCACGGCCATGTGGCGACTGACGCGACTAACAAATCACTTCAATTTCACGAAAGGAATTTCACTTGGTATTGGTGACGTCATACCTAGTCGCGGCTTAATCAAAGCCAAGGAAGATCTGCTGAACACTCAGTATGAATAAATTTATATACGTATGGACTCAAAAGACACTCTGTTTCAAATAGCTAATTCGAATATATTTATTTAGTTACACCAAGTGCAATGAATACATTCAATTGATGGAAACCGGTCGCCTCATCTGTCAGCCCGGGTGTTCGAAAGAGGAAACGGTGGAAATGAAGATACTGAACGAGCTATCGGTAATTCGTGACAATGTTGGCAAAGCATGCGTGAGAGAGTTGCATTCTTCCAATACTCCTCTCACTATGGCACTTTCCGGTAGCAAAGGTAGCTTCATCAATATCTCTCAGATGATTGGTAAGCAATAATTAAAAGTCTCTTCTCAGTGTGATGATAAATTTTCTACAGCTTTGTATATGTGAATGCCCTTAACTCTGAACATCCGTTTTCGCAGCTTGCGTAGGTCAGCAAGCTATAAACGGACATAGAGTGTCGAACGGATTCGAGGATCGCGCACTGCCTCACGTTTTGAAGCAGGTGCGAACAGCCGAGGCCAAGGGTTTTGTGGAGAATTCATTTTTCTCCGGATTGAAATCGAAGGAGTTCTACTTTCACGCAATGGGCGGCAGAGAAGGTCTCACCGATACCGCTGTGAAGACCGCGGAAACCGGATACATGCAGAGACGATTGATCAAGAGTTTAGAAGATCTGTGCATCCATTACGACATGACGGTGCGCAATTCGATGCGCGACATCGTGCAAATCAAATACGGCGGAGACCGATTGGATCCCACGTACATGGAAGGTACGTGTTTACGTTACTTTTTACACTGTGTGTGAAAAATCCATATAATATGCCCGTGTTTGCGCGTTACGTAGGTAAAGATCGTCCGGTCGATTATCAGAGAGTGTACGATCACGTGAGAGCGAAATTACCTTATAAAAATGAAGAGCCTTTAAACGCCGCCGATGTGATCAAAGCCACCGACGAATTGTTGAGCGACGCGAACGAGGAGTACGCCTGTCTAAGCAAAGAGTTCAAACAGGAACTAATGTGAGTATATAATAAAACACGAGATTATCGTAAACGCGATAATTAATCAACGCACCGAATGCTCCAAAAATTGGACAATATATCGGACATTTTGTATAAATTTTTCGTAGCACATTTTTGAAATCTGTGGCTAAGAAGATAGCGCGTTACCGGCAGAACATCAACTTGAAATCGCGAACGGTCTTGCAACTCGAGCGTCTTACCGTCTCGCAATTGGTAGAATTCATTCACACGTGTAAGGAGAAGTACATGAAGGCCAAGATAGAGCCGGGCACGGCTGTGGGAGCGCTCGCCGCGCAGAGTATCGGCGAACCGGGAACGCAAATGACATTGCGATCATTTCACTTCGCTGGGGTAGCGGCTATGAACATCACGCAGGGTGTGCCGCGTATCAAGGAAATTATCAACGCCAGTCCGAAGATCAGCACTCCGGTTATAACAGCAGGATTGGTGAATAATTGATAAATCTCTATCTCTCTTCCTTTCGAGCATGTTGTATATATATAAAAAAGATGTGTGACTTCTCTTTCTTTTCTATCAGGTAAATGACACGGACTGCGAATTCGCTGAACGAGTAAAGGCGAGAATCGAGAAGACCACGCTGGGAGATGTAGCCGAATACATTCAGGAGGCGTTTCTACGCGACGAACACATGCTTATAATAAAATTGGATCTCGAAAGAATTAAATTATTAAAAATAGAAGTGGACGCTCATTCCATAGCCTATACGTAAGTAATATTTGAAAAATCGACTCTAAAAAAATAATACAGTTTTTTTTTTAATTTCAAAGCGTGCGAGAGTAAAAGGTATTATTTTTATTAACTACTGCTGTAAGGAGATCGTATAAAAAAAAAGTAAAAATTCATAATTTTTTATCAGACTCTGCGCGACCAAATTGAAATTAACTCAAAAGAACGTAACCGTGGTGAGCGACGCGCTCATTGTTATTCGGCCAAATAAACAAAAGAACATTCCAAGTTTCCCGTTTCGTCAATTGACAGAGGCCATTCCGAAAGTTGTAGTCAAGGTAAGAGGACGTGCTCTAGAAGAGTTCGTGTTAAAGTGTTGAAAGATCCTGTGCAACGTGTGTGCTTAATTTGATTTTTTTTTTTTTTGTTTACAGGGCTTGCCCTCAATCTCCAGAGTGGTTGTGCACAACGAGAACCTCGATGGGAAAACGAAATTCAAATTATTTGTCGAAGGAGACAATTTTCGAGAAGTCATGGCGACGTCTGGCGTTCTGGGTAAAAACACGACGTCCAACAACACGATAGAAGTAAGTCGAAAGAGAAAACCATATTTAAGTTATATTTGTACAAATGGATTTTACATAATTTTTTTTTTTTTATAATCCGTATTTTTTATTTCAGGTTTACAAAACACTTGGAATTGAGGCGGCCAGAGCGACTATCATGTCCGAAATTAAATCGGTAATGGAGAATCACGGTATCAGTATTGATTATCGACATCTAATGCTCTTGTCAGATCTGATGACCAGCAGAGGAGAAGTGCTTGGTATCACAAGACAAGGTTTGGCAAAAATGAAAGAGTCCGTTTTAAATTTAGCATCGGTAGGAATTTTTCTCATTTTTTTCACACACACAAGTTACGAGTATTTGATGACACGCGTACGTGCTTGTAAAAAAAAAAAAATTTATTTATTTCAGTTCGAGAAAACAGCGGATCACTTGTTCGATGCGGCTTATTACGGACAAAAAGACAGCATATGCGGCGTCTCGGAATCGATTATAATGGGCGTTCCGGTTCCGGTAGGCACGGGAATGTTCAAACTACTTCACAGATATCCTTTTTGTAACAAGAGATGTAATTTTGTCTCGCGCAAATTTCGCATTACGGAATTTGAATATTTAATGCTTGTTATTTACATTTTAACACACGTATTTTTCCTTAATAATTTAACACGGCGGACAAGGACGAGCCACGTAAGCGGGAACTTCTTTTTGACAATCCGGAATTTCACAAGTCCTTCTATTCCGGAAGACGATTTCAGCGGATACGACCTCGTCCGGTGTTACAGACGCAGTAATGATACATGTATAAACTTGATATGTGACACGTATGTCAAATAATTTAAAAATATACGAAATTTATATGTTTTTACTATGTGATGTTTCGTACCACAACCATTCATTTTTCTACAGATGTCCCGAAAGTCAAGACCTAGATAAATTTAAATAGTAATATATATTAAATGATAAAATAAATTAATTTATAGATTCTGCAAATCACATCTCGGATAAAAATCACGTTTGTAATTGATCCGAGAACAATTCAATTCGCGTGCGTACGCGCACTTCGGTTTTTTGCCAGAACTGTGATTGGTTCGCGAAAACAAGGTTCATCTCTGCCTGTCCAATCATTGTCTGGTGTAGTTTAGTGCACTCCTAGTGCGGAGGAAAAGATGGGATAAATATAGAACAATGCCGTCAAATATTTGACGCGTTTGTTGTGCGCATATCGGACCAATTCTCTAATTTTGTGATTACTTGGTACATAACCACAACGGAGGAAGAAAAATTATTCATAATGAAGGCAATTTTTTTATCACTATTTGTTCTCGCTATCTTGTACGAGCGATATGCGATAGCGGAACACGAAGAGGACACGTCTACGGATTTGTACATGATCGAGGGAAAGGTATTTCCTTGGGATAATGTAGCTTCTACCGGATGGCAACTCATGACTCACGTAATGGTCAACGGTGGAGAACATTATGGCTTTTTGAGGTAATTTTTTCACCTACATCACGGCAATTTATTTTTCTGCGTGTTCATCGTTTGCCAACCGAGCACTTTTGGTTCTCCCTTCAGGGAAGATGGCACGTTCATAATCACAAACGTTCCCTCCGGATCTTACATGGTTGAGGTGGTGAATCCGAATTACGTCTACGATCCAGTTAGAGTGGAGATCAATTCAAAGGGAAAATTCCGAGCTCGCAAAGTAAATCTCATACAAACATCACAAGTGATTCAAGTACCTTACCCCTTGAAGATGAGGCCTGTAGCTCCGTTTCGATATTTTCAAGTTAGGGAGCAGTGGCGGATAACAGATTTCTTATTCAATCCCATGGTAAGAGAAGTTTTTACACTGCGTAAGAGAAACATGCGTATCTTTGAATTTTTTTATATCCTAGAATTAAAAACCAATTATTTTCTGTTTCAGATTTTGATGATGGTCTTGCCAGTTGTATTAATTATGGTTCTGCCTAAAGTCATGAACGATCCCGAAACCAGAAAGGTATGTGTGTGTGTGTGTGTGTGTTGACTTTTATCACCAACAACAATACTTTATCGTTCTATGTAGTTCATTATGTATTTTAATTTATATTACCTTGAGACTGAGTCGCTATGTATTTTACAGGAAATGGAACAGTTCAATAATCTTACCAGTTACAATATGCCAGAGATGTCAGAGGTGATAACATCATTCTTATCGGGCGGAGAGAAGCAAAAATCAAAAGCTATAAAAGCTGCAAAAAAACGGCAGTAAAAATTGTTGATTTCATCTGTAGATAGTTAAATATTTATACGGTTGTATATGTTTGTTCTTTAAAATATATGAGAAATATGTGTAGATAGAGAAAGAAAGTTTAGGAGCATTAAAATGCCATGTTCAATTGACTGATATGTCAATCTCTTAAACTATACAATGTGAATGCGTGATATATATTGCCGATCTTGAGCTGTTTGTAAAGTTTATAAAAAAAATGATGTTGGGATTTCTTTTCTACACCGAGATAATACGTGGCCATGTAACTTTCTTGCAACACGCCTGTTTACTTTTTCCTAGAAGAAAGTTACACGACCGCTAACTCGTGTAAATGCAAAAGAAACGGATTAAGAGCAAGTTTTTAACTTGCATTGCAGGTTGTGTCTCTCTCTCACACACACACATACGCACATACATGTGTGTATATATATATATACATATATATATATAATTTATTCTGTGCACATTTGCTGCACGGCATTCTGTGAAACAAAAACAATTATGTATAAATTCTAGTAATTAATAAACACGATGTAACTTACAATTACACAGTACTTATAGTTCTATCATAATCTTCTTGTATCATTTGTACAATGACCTCTGACTTTTTTTTCTAAAAGGTTGTATATTGTGCAATTGAAGATTAAATTTTTTTTAAATATATCAACACGTGTAAGTTACGTTACACATATTCACACAAAGCGACATTGAAATACCGTCGTGCGAAACTAGTAGAAACATTCCCAACTTGTGTGTATGTATTCGCAATATGTAAAAGTTAAATAAAAATTGATTTTCACACTTTATCTCGTAAAAAAAAAAAACAAAGTTTCTTCTCCACTAGGTTTAAAAGATATCGCGAAAATTATGTATTTTTTGTTTAATTTTACAAATATTTTTTTTCTTTAGTAAGTTTGCGGTAAATTTTACTTATATCGAAGTAAAACGAGCAACAATAGATTTGCGCACAATAGAAAAGTACGATCTCTGCAGTCGCGCGACACGATATCACGTTCTCTTTTGAACACACACATTCTCATTCGAAAATATCGAGGTCGCATCACATTTTGTCGCAAATTTTTTTCTCGCGTCGCGCGAAATAAAATTTGGTTTTTTGTTTGCTTGTTTTTTTTTTTTTTTTTGTATCGCGTATTGCGCGAGTCGCTAAACTAAAAGACGAGTGTCGACGAGAAAAAATTGTTAAATATATTAACGATTTAAAACGCGGAATGTCGAGTTTCTCAACGTATTGGGAATTAACAAATCGACAAAAAAAAAGGAACATGTGTAAAGATGAGCAATCAGGCGTGATTCAGCGGTCGACGATGCACAACGATGAAAGCAACTTCGCCGAGAGGGGCCTGGATGTACGGTCCAGTTCCGGGAATTCATATTTCGTCAATCGAGTCTTCGGTGGCTTCACACTCTCTCCGCCTTGCCTGGGCTCGGTATGTTGCCTCGCTCGTTTCGTTCACGTTAACTAACTATCAAATCGAACACACATCGCTTCTCGCAATATATACGTATTACGCGATGTGATATTTGAAACAATAATTTGATCAGAATCAAGAGAGAAAATTAATCAATTGTGCAACATAACTCTTTAGATAATTACATTCGCGGTGAGAAATCTGTGGTGCGAAAATGCGTACAAAAATTTGTGTGCGCGAATGAGGAAATCCGAGTGAAGCACAGTGCAAAAAGAAACGACGTGTGATTGAATCATATTTACGTAATAATGTCTATGTGTAACGTGCGGAAATATTGCAACTCGAGTTCCTGCTCTCACATTTTTGCCAAATTAAAAATGTCAAACGTTTACGAATCGCCCCGTAACTCTTCAACGTTGAAGAACGAGCTCTTGAGGATCAAAAAATTCAAAGCGGAATGGTAAGGAAGACAAACAACGCGAACGAACTCGAAACTACCTGATGCAAGTGATCAACGATGGGGTTCTCGACGACGAGAATGGTGAACGTGAAATCGCGTCGGAGAAGATTTCCGAAAATTTCGACGACCACTCGGACGAGTCCGAACAAATTATGGTGCCGTCAGGTAAATTCTTCAAACGAGATAAGATAAGTCTTGATGCGGCGTGTCTCTCGACGTGTGATCTCTCATCGGATTCATCTTTCAGATCCGTCCAAGTGGAACTCGGGTCACATAGCTTCGTGGATCTCGTGGTGCAGCCGAACGTTCTCCATAAAACCGGGACCCGTAGCCGCGACACTTCCGTCGAACGGAAGGGAATTGCTGAAATTGTCCCCGCAAGATTGGCAGGACGTCGCCGGCGAAACGGGCGGTTCTATTCTGGCGCGACACTTGGGATATCTTCATCTGCAGGCGACCGGCGTGCACACGCCGAGTTTACTGCAGGAGACCGGTATCGGTGAGTCATCGAGTCGTATAATGTGAGTTAGTTTCCAATAACTCGAGCGATTTTGTCTGAACTTCAAGCTGAACACTTCAACACCTAGACTTTTCGCTGATTGTTGGGTCAATGAAGATTTGTGAAAAATACAAATAATACATTTACAGAATTAGAAAATCGATCGTTTACTCTCTTTGACTGTTAGACTCACTCGCCGCTTACGGCTGTGTTAATTGCAACGTGCCGCTATAACTCTAAATGTGATCGATGACCGGGAGGGAGGGGAAACGAGCGTGAAAAGCTTAGAAAAAAAAAAGTTAATAGCGGTCCGATTTCGAACCTGAGGGTGGACGTAGAGTGATCGCGAGAGTGGTGGCTAACCGTTCCCCGAAGACCGATCCGAGTCGAGAGCTTATCTAAAGCTTTAACGATATGGCCGCGATCTATTACAGATAAATGCGGTCCGGCGGAAAAGTAAATATCGATATCTCGCGCCGAGGAGTCCAGTTTCGCCCCTCGAGAAACTTTTTCCGTGTCTCTCTGGGAAAGAAGAGAAAAACTTCGCAACTCTGTGAGATCGGAGCGTTCTACGTCGCAGATCTGCGCGATACGAAAATTAAAAGATGTTCGAATGAAAACGTAAGAAAAAAAAAACGTAACCAAGTAATTAGAAACCGAGGGAGAAAGAAAACATCGTATAGAATCGCGATCGAGGAGAGATGGCGAAAACAAAAAGAAAAAACAAAAAAATGAGATGAAATGATTCTCTTTTGTGTTCTCTCCTTTCCACGCGTAAGGTGCTCTCTTTTTTTTTTCGGTATATACACGGGCGGACTTTCCAGCAACCATCTCCTCGGATGCGAAGGAAGAAAAGCGAAAAGTGAGAGGCACCCGCGAGAGTCGTGGCAACGTAAGCCTCCGGAGATATATCGTCCGTTTGAATAACGTTGCACGGTTCTTTTTCTCTCTCTCTCCCTCTCTTTCTCTCTCTCAGTCTCTCTTTCTCCCACTCTCTCCTTCCTCTCCTTTTGCTCTTCTCTCGGTGTGTGCGTCGGCCCATCTCGCCTCTCTCGGCACCCGTTTATTAAACGAATCAGTGTTATCGCGGTGAGAGCCCTCATGAATAAACCATTGACTGTTTAGGGCGGAAAGGCGGAAAGGTGGTGCCACCGAGGGGTTACGAGCTTACCGTGACCGCTTCCATCCCTCTCTTTCGGGCTCTCTTCTCTTAGGGGCAAGGTTCAACGGGCTTGAGGGTAGTAAAGCTCGCCGTGGGGCGCGACTATATTGTTTTCATGATGAGCGGGAAATGTATATATTGGCGTTGGATTTTCAATGTATACGGAGAGATAATTTCGCGCGTCGCATGTGTCTCTGTCACGCACGTCATCCCCTCTCCCCCATCGCCGAACTTCTTCGCCCTCGCATTCGGCCAAAGAGTCGAGACATTCGCGAGATTTGAGATCAATTTAATACGCGCGCACACATCTTCGATTAACTTCTGATGGCTCATACACTGTAAAAAAAAAAATAAAGTACGTGATTTTCCACAAAATTGTAACTCAAAGAAGCATTTTGAGTAAATGTAAGCATTTACACGATTGATGACGAAGATGTACAAACTCGTTTGAATTTTTTATTAATAGAAGGTGATATTTTTTTTTTACAGTGTAAGGAAATGCGCATTTTTTCTTTGAAATGTTTCTTTTAACGCTCTCGAACACGTTCGTCCTAGCCGCACCGAATCATCAGAAACGAGAAATGAAATTTCTGGCGTGTGAAATATATATATACAATAATCGAAATAAACAATTTTCTCTTACATGCCGTCCCTATTCGACGGCGAGAAAAAAAAATGCGAAGAAGAAATTTATGAAGTTGTACAATTTTTTAAATCATTTTCCACCGGCATGTCCGAGGTGTCGAGTAAAACAGTTTGCGCGAATTTCGAAAAAGAGCGAGAGAGAAAGAAAGACGATATAACGACAGATATAAGTATAGTGCTCTAAGTGCGGTACACGTCACAGAGGGGGTGTGTAAAGGTATTCCATTCTTGCCAAGACCAAGAGTGGGGGATGCGAAGGGCTGAAATATCCAGGGGCAAAGATCGCTCAGTTACTCTCTGTTCACTGACTGTGGCGAGTTTTATTCCAAATGTCTCCTTACCTTTCGTCAACTTGGTTCCCGCGATCGACTCGCGCGCGTCCACGAACTTGTGTCACCGGTGAAACGTAGATTTCAATCAATATTCTCATCGATTTCCTCCGCGGTTTCGCGGAATCATCGTCGATCTCGATGGGACCGCGTGTAATCAGTCTCTGTAAAATTAATACTTCTGTGTTGTTACCGCGTGTTACCGAAGAAAATTGCAGTGATACGTTCGTTTCGAATGCGATTAAAAAACGTAAACGATAAACTGTAAGATTATTTACTTGCGAGAGATAGACTGTGTGAGATCCTCGCGGAAGGAACACAATCGTCGCATCCGTCGAACAAAACGTTCACGCGACACTTGTCACGTGTGATTTCGAAAATGACAGGCCTATCGCACACTGATTTTCGTGAGCGCCGTTCATATGGCACGGGCTAAAATATCACAGTCGGCGCGGTAATGTGGAGAATTCAGACGCATCCTCTACATCTTCAGCAGGATACCAGATTACACCCGTCGGCCGCCGCGATTCTTTACAACGGTAACGCGGGAAGCGACGCAGCAAGACTGAAACGTCGAACAATCATTTTTATACATATACTTTTGTTATATTTATTTACACGCACTTTCTCTCGAAAGATCCTACCGAAAGACAAATAAATTTTCATCGACGCGATTTCTCTGTCGAAAGAGATTTCTCTGTCGTTTTACTTAATTTTTAGAAACGAGAAAGCACAAAATACGTTAGAGAATAAAAGTCGGATCTAACCACTTCCGATTAAGTTAACGGGTCGATTGAGTGATTGACCGATTCTGCTAAACGTCCAATGCGATTGGTCAATCTCGAATAATCGGTTGACCGAGTTAATCAGAGATGGTGAAACCATGACTCTAATTATTCGACTCATATTTTCGCGTTCAAGTTGAGTCGACTGTAAAAAATAAAAAATTACTAGAGTAAGTTTACTTTCTGTTTTCTCGGGAACACAGTAATAAAATATTTATAAATATGTTAATTTAGAAAAAAGAAAAAAGTTGAGTCAGAAAAAGAGAAAAGAAATAAATTAATAGATAAGAAAAAGGAGAAAGAGAGAGAGCGAGAGAGAGAGAGAGACGATCGTTTTTCTCTTACGCCGTGCAACAACTTGACCTCGCAATAACTCGCGATTCACGGTGGCTGTGGTGCATGCGTGTTTCGTTTTCTGCTCGCAGAGAGGTTCAGCCTCCTACAACAGACTTGCTCGCTGATTGGATCGACGGCTGGTGCCGGCAGCTCAGGGGCGGTCGGAGGCGGTCAGGTTCAGCTCTGGCAATTCTTGCTGGAACTACTCTCGGATTCGTCCAACTCGTCTTGTATCGCGTGGGAGGGATCGAACGGCGAATTCAAGCTCACCGATCCGGATGAAGTTGCGCGTCGATGGGGCGAGCGCAAGAGCAAGCCCAACATGAATTATGATAAGCTGTCGCGCGCATTAAGGTAATTTCATCGACGAATTCCTTCACATTCACGTGTATACATATTGCTTCGACTTCTACGCAGAGTCTGTCTGTTAACCTTCAGAGGACCGACATCTTTTCCTTGAAAAATCTTACATATTTGATACTCAACCTTGATTTTATAACGTACGTCTTATATAAAGTTATTATGTAGATTCAGAGCTACTATAGTAGCTAGGCCGGTCCTCTAAAGACTAAAAGTTCTATCAAATACTTAGATTTTTTTTTTTCATTTACACACCAAAAATAACTTGGTTATCGCTAGTGAATTCTACTGAATTCCGTCAGAGAAACATGTGGAGTTGATTTTCTCACGCAAAAAAATTCAAAAAAAAAATCTGCAACATTTGATCTTCATATCTGAATATTTTTTCTCTTTCGACAGAGAAATTTCAACCAAAATTTGTAGATTGTTCCACGGATTAATTAAATTTTAAACAGCTTGGAACACACACTTCGGCATATTTACAAACAAGATAACGTTATGTGCAGATATTACTACGACAAGAACATAATGACGAAAGTACACGGTAAACGTTACGCTTACAAGTTCGATTTTCACGGTCTGATGATGGCTTGTCAGTCGCAAGCCGGTGTAATGCTGGAAGCGTCGACGTCGACGCGGGTAACAGGCGCGAACTGTCATCCAGCCCGTCATCAGCCTCATCGTGCGGCTCACCGTTTGTATCCGGTCGGGCCGTCGTTTGCTCAACACACTCTGCCACCCTCGTTGCAATCGGGATCATCCCTGTCTACTCAGCAATCGTCGCCAGCAGGAGCAGCGGCATCATCGTTGCAATCGCTGCAACCACCGCCGCCGCCACCACCGCCGCCGCCGCCTCAATCACCACCGCCGCATTATTGTTGGCCGTATCATCGATACTCGTCATCGGCATAACGTGGTCGTTCGGTCAGCTACGCTCGGCTGTGCGCGTCACATTCTTTGTCCACTTGTTCCACTTCCTTTCAGTCCACTCCTCTCTTGACTCCAATCTGTCGAGGATCGCTCGCGGAAAGACTCGGACTTTCGTGCGCGGATCAACACGCCCAGACACACCTCTGACAATATTTTTTATCAAATCTGTGTATCGATATATACCGCTACTTACACACATTTGTTTACTGAAAAGCAATATATATATATATATTTAACATGTTAATATACGTTATCGCTAGTGTAATATTACCTATATATTTCTGATATAGGAAAAATTATTTCTAAACTAATAATAAATCACTTGAATAAGAGAGCGCGTACTTGATGCCATAATAATTGTATATTTTGTAAACACGACTTTCTATGTAGCAAATACATACATGTTATAAGCTGATGGATTTACAGTATATATATAAAAATAAATAAATTATTATATATAACAGAGACGTTCAAAGAAAGAGTAAAAACATTTCGAGATAAATTTCATTTTTCAATTTTCAACGACGTCTTATATAAAGACGCTCTTTAAAATTGCAATCGAAATTTTATGGATTATCAATCGACGTGTATATCTCTGAATAATACAAACTTTCGGCATTGTCCTGTGTCATAACAACTCGACCCCCAAATACTTGTTTATTTATAAACCATCGTATCTTTTCGACGCGTCGTGGATAACAATGGCTCCTGTAGACCTTGGTTTTTGAAGTATATATCTATTTCCGGAAAAAAGTCGAGACGCCGGTTCACCCGCGAACTTCCGCCGCGCGAGCGTCGCCATCTTTTGCGTCTCCTGTGCTCAGGAGTCACTTAAGTCCGCGTCTCACTTCGTTCTTTAAGGCCGATATTCACGAGAGAGGCTTGTTCTTTTTAGAAGTTGAACTTGTCGCACCGTTCGTTTTTTCCCCGTTTTTTTTTTTTCAAAATGAGGAGAAGAAAAAATACGGAAGTGTGCAAGAAGTTCGGCTAAAAAGTAGTACAGGCCTGAGATTGTCTCGAGTTCTTCGTCTTCGAGATGCTGTTGTACGAGTCGTTCTATTGGTCACATGGCTGCGTTCGTTTTTTAATGGCAGTACTGAAAATCTATAGATTCATGTCACGTATACTATAGATTTTTCAGTACAGCCAGTAATAACCGAACAGGGCCCATATCTGGAAGATGAGCTTAAAGCCCGTTCTACATTGGGTGCGTTCAGACAACTCAACAGTTGAGAGATCATTACTTATGATAGGACTATTCTTCAAAATCTGCTTCGGTTCCAAAAGTATGATCCAATCAGATGTGACTATCTCTCAACCGTTGTGCAACTGTTGAGTTGTCTGAACGCACCCATTGATCGCAAGCGCAAACGCGAGGTATGGATCTTGTGGAATTGACCAATCACGCTGGTCAATTGGCTGATTTGATCAATACGATTGGTCAATTCTACCAGACCTTGTTCCTTGCGTTTTGCGATCAATGTAGAACGGGCTTAAGACAACACGAGATTCAAGGATCGTGTTTTTTGAGTACCGGCCGTAATGTCCCGCGACCCGACAGATTTTATAACCACAAAGACCGTCGACGTAGTTTGTGCTCGGAGAGACGTTTTCCTTTCAAGAATAATTGCGCGGAGAGACGAGATGTTTGTTTTCTAAATCTCATGGTTTAGCATCTCGAGCGCGTTTCCGTTTCCGAACTCCGTGGTGAGTGATGTGTGCGAATAATTGTGCGCGAGAAGCAAACTTGTCGCAAATTTATGATTCATTTCTCACAAAGGTGCCACCTGTAACAAAAGTCTTTTTTTTTTGTGTTTACAGGAACCTGCGCGGAAGAGAGCGGCCCACACACGTACATGTGCTGAATTGTGTATTTTTCATAGAAGAATTAAGCAGCATTCTTCAGTGAGAAATTTTTTGTGTGTGTATATATATATATTTTTTTTTATATATACGTATATATATATATATATATATATATATGTATTGAGGACACATAGGGTTTTATATATAAACAGAACAAGAAATACAGTCATGTTGGGAAAACAGATGTCGGGTTCAAAAGAGAAGGACAGAGACAATAATGTTTCCAAGTTGGAGTCAAAGTGCAAGCTAATCATGAAGTGGACTCCGCCGAGAGAAAAACATTTATATTTCAGACAACGATTTGGATCGCCCAGAATGTTAAGCCGTTCGTTTCCACAAAGAAAGAAAACCTTATCTTATTACAAAACAAGAAACTTCTCAACCTGTGATATTGTCGGTTCGAAAGGAGACGCATCAGTTTTTGTATCGCCGAAGTCAAGTTTGGGAAACAGTTTTCAATCAATCAATTCGAATAAATTATCGAGAGAATTATCCAGATCGGCCAAGATAATGAAAGCGCTTACTTCGAGCTCCAACTTGCTCGGCCACAGACACAGAAGTATAAGAAAATCATTGAATTTTAGTCCGAATTCAAGTCCGCGAAAGAGAAGCAGTAGTTCTGTTAGCAGTGACTCATTGTCGCCCATGTTCTTTCCTGATAAAGTGAGACTTGATTCAAGCTCAACTGACTCTTCCGCCAGCATGTTGATCGCATCTACAGAATCGATTGACGAGAATCAGAATCAAACGCCTCAGCACAGTCGGAAGATAGCGAACACACCGACCGACACAACTCCCAAGATAGAAAAAACTGCTGATATAACAGCATTTAAATTGAAACTTCGAAGTAAACTCAGGGAAAGGATTGACGGTCTTGTAAATACAGCAGAAACACCTAGAAATTCCTTCAGTAAGTCAAATATTGACGGCTGTGTGATACTTGCTAGCACACCCAGGGAGTTGTCTCATGACATCAATCAGGACGAGCACAATAGGTCACTTACACCGGAAAACATAATGTTAATTCCACAGACCATGAGCGCCATCAAAAAGAGCCATAAAAAGGTAATGCACAAATTATTCGATATTGTATAACTTTCCAGCTAATTTTTTTTTCTCGCATTTGTTCTCATCAATTTTAAATTTATAAATTAAAGATACTTAACAGCCATATTGTGAGATACTCAATAGCCATATGTATGGTTGCAATGTGTAAAGAGACAAGGAAGCTTTAACTTTTAAATTCTGACTGCATATGTTTTTAATTTAATATATTAAAATATTCTAACAATTGTTGTTCTAATTTGATTCTCTAATTGTTAATATATTAAATTCTTGATTGCAACAGGAAAAATTGCATTATTTCGAAGATCTATTGTCCACACGGCAGATGGAGGTTTCGATAGCAGATACAAATCTGCATACAAACGCAACGACAAAATCGTTGGAATCGCACGAGGCGAGCGATAGTTTTTACAATATGACTCCCGTAAAGGAAACTCAGAAGAAGAAAAAAGTCGTTAAGAAGATGCTCACTTATAAGGACAGCGGGCTCAATGATACCAGATCGCTTCTGATGGATCACGATGCGGAGAACACTACACTAAGTAAAGATGATTCAGATGAAAACAGATCGGATAAGTCGCGAGATGACAAAATACAGAATATTGATTTGATTGGTCGCGACGTTGTTGAACGTGAAAAAACTTCGCTAGATAGCGACATAGATCTCACTCAAAACTACGACGATGAGAAAGAAGAAAGTGACTGGTCCGAGAAAACCAATTCCGAGAAAGAATCTCAGTATCCGCAAGAAGAAGCGTCACGTAAAGCGAACAATGCGACAACGAGTGAAAGAAGAACGGTGTCTCCGGAACGCGAGTCAACTAGTTTTCAAGACGACAATAACGCAGCAACTACACCCGACAATCACATAAACCTTTTGAAGCAGGTGTGCACGGAATCGATTAAAAAGTCGCACAAAAAGGTAAAATATGAAAAAAGAAAAGCTTTATCTCAGAAACAGATTCTTCATCAGACAATGGAAATAGATAAAGCGTCGGAAGACACCGATCGTCACAAAGATGAAGCGAACGACAAAAATGCGATCACAACTCCAACTTCGACTCGTCAGAATTCCGGTCGTCCGGTCACACCCGAGGTTTTGAATTCCAGCAGACTCTTACTGTCTCAATTTTATTCGATCAAAAAGTCACATAAAAAAGACAAGGAAAAAAAAGAAAAGGTCCAGTCCAGCGCGATCAAACATCACAAATATTCGAAAACAAATAGCAACTGGTCGAAAGATGACGGGGAAACTAGCGCTGATGCGAACACCTCGCGGAACAACGTGTCGCTCCAGTTAGCGGATTCTCTTGACGACGTGTTGATCAAGAAGGGAAAGAGATCATTGAGAATGTCCTTGTATGGCAACAAGAAGAGTACAGACGCGGATGACGAATTTAAGATCTACACTCCGATCAAGAGAAGACCGTTGATTCCGCTCGCTAATAGCGCGAACAAACCGTCGTCACAGGAGAAGACCAAGCTCACGGAAGCGACGTCGAAAGAAATCGATTGCTTCAGATGCACAACACCGGTGGCGCGTCATTGCGTCGCGTCTGAGAAAAATAGAGAATCGGAAGCACACAGTTCGAACGACGTACTAGCGGATGCCGGAAATCGAACTCGCAACAATGGCGCATCGACTCCGACGAATACATGTTCGACGACGGAGCTACGTCACAATATCGACTCTATCAAAGCGTCGCACAAGAAAGAGAAGCTCGACCGCAGCGGCGTTTGCAGAAAGCAGATTTTAGAAAAGAACCAGCTCTACACCATCAAGAACATCAGTTTCGCAGATACGTCGAGCGAAGATCATTCGTTGGAAGACGATATTGGCTACACCGAAACGGGAACGTGCAGTAACACATGTGGATTGAGTGCGGACAAAAACCGCGAGGGAATTATTATTCGCGAAACATTGGCGAGTCGAGCGGAAAATAGCAGTGAAAATTCAAAGGAATTGAAGTTCTCCGTCGTTGCAACGCCTCCGAACGACTCGAATATCGCCAAGTTGATCAGACTGTCTCACACAACTTCCATAAAGAAATCTCACAAAAAGGAACGTGACAATAATGCTCAAGCTAAGTACATATTTATGAGCGAGGAACACGACTTGTCCGACGACGGATCGATATTCAATGAGGAAGATCGATTGATTTCTGACGAATTTCAGAACCTGTACCACGACAATATGACAAACGACAACTCGATATAGATTATTAGACTATGAAAGTACACGCTCTATATGAATTATGACAGCGCGTCGCGACAATAATGTGTAAATAACATAGGATGGATTGATTTTTTTTTAAATAGCACAGACAAATTAACGAAGAGAATATTATTATTATTTGACAAAGTTTTAGCGTACTATTTCTAGTTACTTTTTTGATTTGCCAACGTATCTGCGGATTTTTATCCGTCCGCGATGATTTAGTAGAAAGATTTTTCTCGACTTTGAATCAAACTTAAGTTAAGAAACAACACAACATTCACGTAACTTGAGAAAAAGTATATAATATAAAAATTATCAACATCTCGTTGATTTTCATATACGAGAAAGGTCTAAAAAAAAAAAAAAAAAAAAACCTATACATATAGATACAATTCCTTGTGTCTAAAATTGTACACCTAATTAGGGTAAAGTATTTTACGAGTATTTTACACACGTATGGTTTTTGCTTTCGTGATAGGACTCGATTGATTTTGCGAATACTCTCTCTGCAATTTAAACTTTAATTTTTATAATATTATAATAAGTTTCTCTCTCACTTTCTCTTTTTTATATGTATATGTTATTATATGTTACATTTCGGTTTTCATATATATATATAATTTATAAGAAGTACGGACTATATAGAGCTGTTACGTAATTTTTTTGTCGGAACGGAAGCAATGATTTTTCCGAATCGAGATGTTTTCGTGTCTTTGTTGCCACGAGAAAATGGAAACGACAATCGTAAAGCGAAACTCACCGCGATCGGAAAATTTACGTTCCAAAGATTTTTACGCAACGGCACCGACCGGATGTAATTTTTTTTTTTTTTTTTTTTGAAGAATAGTAATCTCTATTAGCGTTTCAAACAACATTCGCTCTTGTGACTATTACATGTACGTTTATCATTGAATTGAGATGTAGTTCATCGCTTTCATCACATCGCTTGACTCAACTGAAATAAAATATAAAAAAAAAAAAAAAACATTTATCTTAAAAATTAAGTTCGTATATTACAAATTTATATATTAATATTTTTCTTTTTTTTTACATAGACACACATGTGTCTTAAGCACAATTATACATGTTAACTTTCTTCTGTATCTCATTGTAATGTATATAAGAAATTAGGTCAAATACATTTTTCTATATTGTTACACAGTGTACGCGTGTGTTTTGAAAAAAATTCTCTCTACCTTTTCTACGATATATTCGTGTTGCGATCTTGATGCGGCGCAATGTGCCATGCAAATCACCGTATATATGTATGAATAGCGTTCTATATATTGAGCAAACTCTCTCTCTCTCTCACGTGTTCGTCGTCAGGGATACAGAGACGTAGAAAAGATTCTCGTTTGGTAAATAACAATCGAAATATTAGTCTACATTTCGGTCTGTTTCTAAAGATTATACAAGTCTCTCGCGACGAAATCTTTTATGACTTGTGAGAAGTATTTTATGTTACCAAAATGGAGTACATAGTATCGCCGTGGGAAATCGAAACCTACATACAAAGTTTAAACGTCTCGACTCTGCAGGATATCGGCACAAAAGAGTGCGTGCCTCGTCTTAGGTTTTTTTTTTTTTTTGTTTAGTTTCTAGTATAGCTATATACGTACAGCTCGCGGGCTAAACCCAATGTGTTCCAGCTGGTTGGATTTCCACAAGAAATTAACGTTGTTGAATCAACAAAGTGTACTCGAGGTGACGGAACTGCGCGAGGAGAGCGTCGCGGAATTTTTTATCTCGTTAAAAAAAGTAAGAGCTAATTTCGAAAAATTTTTCGACAGTTTAGTTTTCTTTTAAAATTCTCTTGCGCGATACCAGTAACACGCATAATATATTCTCAAATATAGTTTTACCAAATCTTACGTTCTCAGGTTCCCGTTCTCATATACGAAGCTATACAAATTGACATATGGAAGCACAAGGTGTTCCCGCTGTTAATTGACCTCGACAACGAGCCGTCCAACACGTTTATGCTGTTCAGCGTTTTTTATCACGAAGTCATTGCCGTTTCGCTGTTGGAAAATGTATTGTTTCACTGCAAGAGCTCGGACACGATGGACGACACGATAATCGATCTCATCGATTATGCCGTTCAATGTGCGACCGTGCTCTTGGACGAGAAAACCACGGAGATTTACGAAGGACTTGACGCGAAAGATTTCAAGTAGGATAAAGCACATGAAGCAAATTAAAAAAACAAAAGAAAAAAAAACATGCAAATTAAACGTTAAATCTGTCAACTGGTGTCGAATGTGTTTTCTAGCAATTCGAGCCTGGAAGAAATACTGAAGAAACATAAAATACTCGAATTCGACATCGGGATGAGATGCATCTCAATTCTTTACTATATAATAGAATTTTTGGAAAGCTTGCCTCTTTATGTTGTTTCGCGCGTGCTGACCACACACGATGTTCCTTATCTATTTGTGCAGTTGATAGAAAAACAACCGTGGAAGAAGGAAAACGAGAACGGTAATCATCCCCGTTTCTCTGATTCCCATCGAGTTGCGTTACGATGATGGGAGACACGTAAATTAGAGTTTCCTTAATAAATTTTGGCGCAGGTGAAATTTTAACGTACGACGCTAAGTGGCAAAAAATTGACGCAAATAATATTGGAAAAATTAATAAGAGAGAAGGACAGATATGGTTTGCTCTGAGAGAAGTGCTTCTCAATCCTAAATATTCTTCACATTATGAGATCACAGAGCACAGACTGACCCAGTTGTCAAAGGTATTGTTAATACCAATGCCGATTAATTGATTTAAAAAATAAATTTTTTACACCCAGTTACAGAGACATTTACACGAAGACGTATTAGATCAAATCTGTCCTCTGATAGACCTCAAGAGATGGTTATCTTATGTTACTATGTCATCGGCACGGCCATCTTCGAATAGAATCTGCAAGGTTCAAGTAGAAGTTATACCACAAGTATGTCATTATTTTTTAAATTACTTTTTGTTATCTTAAAATGGTTATTAATGCAACGCTACAATCTTGCGTATAAAAGAGCAACCGCCAAATACGTGTGTGTAAATTTCAGATAAAATCATCCATTTTAGAAAAATTTCACAAAAAATGGAAAAAACTCGCTAGACATCAGTCCAAGTATCTACTCACGGTAGATACAAATTACATTAAAGATGCCGCGCAGATTTTAAGCGATATTTACGATTTGGAGAAGTTGGATCGTTTAGAAACAAAAAAATGTTCTTTGTGCCAAAAAGTGTCTAAGAATCGATGTTCCAAGTGTAAAGAAACTTGGTATTGTAGTAGGTGAGTAATATTTCAAAAACATGTAAGATTACAATGCAATGAAAAATAAATATAAAATTTCTCATAGGCAATGTCAAGTGAAAGACTGGGAGAAACACAAAGACATTTGCAACATGATTACAAAAACTGAATGATAGACATAGAATAATAAATAAAAATTAATAGACACAACATACATCTAGTTAGCACTCGGTGTTTTTTTTTTTAACAACAGTGTAAACTAACTGTTATATACGTACCTCAGAAAGAAACCGATAAAATTATAAAAAATTCCAAAAACAAATATTTTTAAAGTGTTTTATTAAAAAGTTTCTTAATGTACAGCATTTTGTTTCAAATATTCTAGAAGAACATCTTTCGCTGGTGTATCCTCACCGAAATCCTAAAAGGAATAAATGTATATCACAAATATTGAAATAATAAAATTAGATTAATTGTGATAAAGTTTCTAACGTTCAGACGGGCGTGTTGACAGCATGGTTTGTTTACGGGTTCTCTCAGTAGAGGGAGCCCAAATATATCATCATATAATTTTACAGTTCTTATTTTCCTCTCTTTAGTGCATTTGTCAAATATTAGGATGTTGACAAAACAAACAAATAAACTAATATTTTTTATACAGCTTACCTTTATAACAACACAGGAGCAACCAACTACTTTACGCGCTTTGCCCGCACTATCAATTTTACATAGTCCTGCCCATTCGCCTAATTTTTTATTGTTATCTACTTTTATCAGAGGTATTTGATGTTCATTACATAACGCTTGTACCAACTTTTTATACATAGGTTCATCACAATTGTCTGCCAATACGCAAAGCATTGCTTGTCTTCTACAACAGAAGAAGACATTTATTGTCATATTGATTTTGTTGTATAATTGATATTTTAATTTTTGTTTTTATACTTTATCTTACTTGTCTAGTGCCTTGGCAGCTTCATGAAGACCGTGTACTACACCATCGTGAATAAGAGAATTTTTTAGGACTTCTTGCAACGCCGTGTTAACGTCCATATTACCACTAACTGCCACGGCAGACGATACATCATCACTGTATCAAAACTAAACTTACTTACTCTGGCATATTTTTGTAATATGCTGAGTGCTTTCTATTTAATGACTCAAGTTGTTATAAACCTTTCTTCTGATATGAGTTTGCACAAATAAGTGCTTTCCATATGGAATTACTGACTTCAGCTAACTCAAATCAACACATCTCAACAAATAGAAAGCACCTCTAATGTATCATTAGATATAACAAGTAAAACAAAACCACGGTATAAGCACGTATACCAAGTACATATTATACATACTTATACCAAGAACAAAAAGTTGAAGTCGAGGCAGTTGGAATCGAATCTCCAATCATACGCTTATGTTAATAAAATTCAACATTTGATAGATAATCGTGATTTACGTTGATTCTGCATTACGATTATGCTTTAACGATATATTTCGAGTGTTATACAGATATCTGGAAATTCAATAACTTACTTTTCCACGTCCGACATGTTGTCTGGTTATTAAAAAAGTTAGAAATATATACAAGAGGCTTTTTATCTTCGGTTGAAAAAATATAATTTTATTCCTTTATACAAAAATACGACCTGTGAAAACAAATCATTGAATTTTAATTGTTATTTAATTAGTTTTCTCTATCGCAGATTACGACTCTTTACTCACCTATTCTCAAGCCATTGATCGAAAGAAAAATTCGCCACGCGCTTCGGCTTAGGTCAGTATTGCTATATAGATTGGACGCCTTTTTCGCGCATGCGCAACGCATCTAACTATAATTCCAGCAGTCATTGGTCATCGGTCCAAATCACGCTTCGAAATGTTGTGACTTGCGGATTCACTTTGAATGCTTATGTACGCGCTTTAATGTCGTTGTACATCAGTCCGGATTGACATCATAGCGTGTGAGCGCCCAAAACAAACGCAATTTATGTACGCGGGTAAGTCGAGAGATAAATTTTTGAAGAGTAAATGTCGGGAGATGGGTGTAGGGAATGTGCACACATTCTGTTTAGAGGTATAAAAGTAAATATTAATATTGTACCTTTATATTACATTACCTTTATATAACTTACTAAATATAGATAAAAGGAACGGATCTATAAAGAGATCTGTAAAACACTTCTGTTATTTCCAATCTTGTAGATTATTTAATAATTAAGAAAAAAAGACTTGTCGCGATCAATAACACGAACTCTATATTCGAGGAAACTTTGATGGATTTGTTGGGAGTTCCCGTATTGTTGGTCTCGTGCAGAGTTTCATTAATGGCTCTCATTAGTGGATAATTGACTCCGTGAAGCGTCTCGCAATTGCCCCTGAAATCGTCCATGTCGATGCTCCAGATCATAACACCCGCCAAGTCTTTCTTCTTCACGTATTCCATCTGATACGAAAAGCAACGTCTGTATCTTCTTAAAAGTTATAATACAAAAAAAAAAAAAAGACAAACTTGTTGCAAAAATACCTTGGCCACAATCGCTTTAACGTTGTCGTAAACCACAACGTGATCCGTTTTAATCGCATACGCTGTACTGCTGTAGTTGTCCCACCCGTTCGTCCAATCTTGCGACCGCGACAATGTTTCGCAAATCTGCACAGAATTTAACACTTCGGAGATTACCGCGTACAAGATGATTAATCGCAAGTGTGATTAAATGTGACGCGAAAAACAGCCGTGACTTGTCGAGAGACTTTATGTGAAACTTTTGGATGAAACTTTCACCTCTCTGTTTACAAATAGCACGATGTAAATAGAAAGAAATGTTTCAACAAATGTATACCTCATTGAATCCCATAAATCCTTCTTCGGACGTGTAAGGTCCTTTGAATGAGGTTTCCAAACTGGTTAGACCTATCGGATCTACGTTTGATTCTGGCACCTTTGTCAGAATGAACGTTCTTCCATACATTGCCAGTCCCAAAACCAGCTTCTTGGTTGGAACACCTTTTTGCAGCAGATATGTAATAGTGTCTTCCTAAAAACACGTTATGAAGATATAAATCACTGTGTGCGAACAATCATATATTTAATCAACAAAACGAGCACTTCTTACCACACTTAATCCATCATTGCTTCGCAACGGTGAATTGGGCAAAACCTTTCTATCCCACAAACCGTGATAGTCGTACGCCATCACGTGGATGTAATCAAGATATTTGGAAAGTTCAGGAATATCGTAGGCCACGTCGATAGTGTTCTTGACCGCGCTTACAGCCGCCGTCAGCAATAAGTTACTCTTAAAGGCATCTCTTAACTCCTATATTGTGTAACAGATAGCTTTGTATTCTCTCTCGCGTATGATGCAAATTTTCTTACACGCGCGCATATGCAGAAAGAACACATGTATACCTTCACGAGACTAACAAAACTTTGTTTGTCACCGGGAGTACCTCCGCGTTGTCCGGGAAATTCCCAATCAAAGTCCAATCCGTTGAATCCGTACGTACTGTTGATTTTTCGTAAAAAAAAAGAAACCGTAAAATTATTGATGTATTAATTATTTATAGATAAAATTAACACGTTTAAAAATAAAATGTATTTTTTATCTTCAATACTTTAAATTATAATCTGTTTTAGATTTTAAAATTATAAAATTATTAATTATTATTTGTATAAATCATTGAAGTTACCAAAACAATCAGAATATAACAAGATGTAAGTATATAAATCGCTCTGTGGAAAAATTTTAAAAACAATAATCGTTAAAACGAGGTGTCGCGAGAGGTGAACGCACTTGAGAAACTTGACGGTGCTATCGATGAAAGTTCTCCTACGATCCGGCGACGAAGCCATTATTGAATAGTTTCCGCTGCCTTCGTTCCATCCGCCGATGCCGAGCAATACTTTGAGACCTTTTTTGCGGAGATCTGTCATCTTTTTGTAATTACCTTTCCCTACAGTCATCAGGATATGTTTATGAATTTCGATTGATTAGAAACATATGAGCTCTAGCGTGAGGCAATCAAATTTAAAGGCAATAAAAATTAGAAATGAAATTTTCTCGGCAATTTCAATAAAGTAGATAAATGTTGTTTACGACAGATCATACGTTTAATCAAGTTCTCTCTCTCTTGTAATTTAAACTTGATTCTCAATTACCATCTTTCTCTATGTCATTCCAGGGATCGAGACTTTTGATCGTCCAACTCGATGTGTTCAAGCCGGCGAAAGCGTAAATCAAGTGTGTGCATAATTCCGGGCGTAGATTTTCTAAAGTAAACGCGCCATCGCCCACCCTGTAGACTGCCCACGATGCGACGTAGCAAGTAACGACTTTGTTATGTTTTGGTTTGGACAGCGCTAAAACAAACGAACAAAAAAATCACTGCGAAAGTCAAATGTCCTTTTAAATGCTAATCGAATGTTTGGTCATTGTGTGTGTGTGCGTGTGTGCGCGCGTCAAACATTTCAGAATTCAATGCGAATTCCTTGCGAAAATGTCACGTCTTCGACGTGCCGGTTTTTACTTTCGCTTGTTAAACGTAGGCGGACGCGATGCGCAAGAACGTGATATTTTGCACACCATCAGACATTGTATATGTACATATGCACTATATATGTATATATGTTAGTTACAAATAGAGGAGATGTAGGTGTTTACACACGCGGACTCACCGTGAACATTGCAGATTCCAAAACTTAAAATTGCAAGCAGAAATGCCACGTCGGCGAAAGACATCGTCGCGCGTTAAACGTTTTTCTCAGTGCGGCTACTATAACTGTATCTGACAAATTGTAGTTTTATTTTATAGCAACGATGACATACACTGACGCTGTTTATTGTTCACACGTTTTTCATTAATAACGCAATAAAACCGCATGAATAACGCAAACGATATTTTATATTGCGTTATCAACAGAAGCTGATCCTCTCATGCATTTTATCGCTGATTTCCGACTTATTTTTATCTCACTAATAACAAAACCGATATCAGTCACTCCTTTCTCCGAAGATAAAATTCGCACTTTTCTAATAAATCGAAACAACAGTTGCTAAAATCGTTTTTCCTAAATAATTCGAATATTTTCTGACATTTAGATGAAATACCAACGCAGAAGAAACATCGATTCGTTCGGGCTGCGAGCTGTGAACTGATGTTGGGAGTCAAATGTACACGCGTATACGTCGAGGAGAGAGAGAGAGCCCAGACACCATCACTTTCACCGGTAGGTAGGTAACTGTTTCTCGAGCGAGAAACAAGGAAGCGAATGACCGCGAGAAAGATGCATTTAGAACCAGTTACATACACACATACACATTGACGCGAGTAGTGTATTATTTCTTTGTTCTGTAAATTCTTTCGTGGACATTTTCTTGAGGAAAAAAGACGCGTATCGGAAATATTTTTCATAGACACTTTTTCTAGTGTATACTTAGAAGTAATAGTTTAAAACAAATATAATAATTTATACAAACTATTTATAAAGCAACGATACAATCCATAGGATTGCGAAAATCCTTGATCTCACTAGAAGAGTGTAATATATATCTCTTATTTAAGACACACACACAAAGTCTTTAGCGAACTTAATCATTTCTATTTTAAACGTGTACAATATAAGTCTATTAAAATGTATGCGATATAAGTGATAACACTTTAACTGATTATATTTTGCTTTATCTTATATTTTTGCAATGTGAGAAATAATACGTTACACTGATAAGTACGGCCAATACGGCGTTGAGATAACCGGCGTCACCGTGCTGCAACGCTGAGTATTTTGAAGCTCCATTTCGAACAAGGGTCTCGTTTATCCATTTCAGATAAAAATCCACGCGCGAATAAACACCTGGAGAATTCGGAACGGCACATCCCATGCCCCAGGAAACAATAGCGACCTGCGTTCCGTTGCACACCAACGGCCCGCCGCTATCGCCCTAAAAAAAATGTATAAAGAAGAACACACATGAGAGAAATTTTATATAAAATATATAGGAGTGTGATCATATATTCTCTCGTACATATTTGTGTGGAACTATATTTAGTCAAGGATATAAATAGGACAATACATTATGTATGATGCATTTTTTTTCTTTATTTTTTAGAGATAAACGGAAAAACTCGAACTATATATTGAGAAAAGCTTTAAAAGCTCGAGGGCTCGAACTATTGAGAAAAGCTTTTAAAGCTCGAGAAACTTTTGTGAGGGAAAGCTCTAAAGTTACGGAGAACTTTCGATTCAAACCTGACAAGCGTCGCGACCACCTTCCTGGACGCCTGCGCATAATTGTTTTTCTCTGTGCACATTTGGCATAGGACAGTCTTCGGGACGAACCAATGGAATCCGAACGTGACGCAAGTACGTACCACTTCCTTGCTAACATAATAAAAGTCGTAAAATATTTTTTTACCGTAATATACTTTTGCGTAATATTCTTATTGCAATACTCTTGTATCACCTGGTGGAGACTTACGTTCGAGTCAGGTATGTGTCGACCCCATCCTACCGCGTGACAATCCCGCGTGTACACATCGAACAGATTCGCAATGTATTGCGAGGGAATCGTGACGTATTGGATGTGCGCGCTTTTAGGAAGAGGCCTCTTCAGCTGCAAAGGGAGCGGACGCGAGGAGTGGAGAAGTGTGCAAAATGGCCTCGTGTGGTCGTTGCACAAGGTTGATTTTCTTTTTTTGTTTTTTTTTCTCTTTTTTTTTTTTTTTTATTATTATTATCGACACAGAATTATATACACGGCAATAAATAGTCACCCTGAACAATCCAATATCGTTTTGCATGTCCGAGAATCGAAACTCCGCGTGCGGCAATGTCTTGTCTATCAATTCTATTTGCATGGAACCCCAGCTTGGTAAATACACGTACGTTGCGCCGGCGATCACGTAGTACTGTCTTGGGTTCTCCGCTATCCACGTGCCGTCGAGCAACGGTCTTTGAACAACAACGAGTTTAATGATGTGTAACTTTGTTTTTTTTTTTTTTTTTTTTTTCTTTACACGGTA